AAAAAAAAAAAAATGGGGAATATAAAACAGGACAAAAATGTTCGCTACATGGCGGAGAAAATAATAACAGTTCCACATATGATATGCCAAAGGATGACATCATAAAATTAGTAAACGCAAAATTATTTTTAAGATGTATAGAGCAAAAGCAGGCTTTCCTTGTTGTTATCTTTTTTTTTTTTTTTTTTTTTTTTTTTTTTTTCACCTGGACCCTTTTATTTTGGTTAAATGATGTTCCCCACATGATACTTCTTTTTTCTATGTCATTCATTTTGTTGTTGCCGCATTTATTCAAATTCTTTGTGCAGCTTCAAACGTGTTTGTCATTAAGGCGGTACGTATTATTAGAACAAGGAAGAGAAAGGCACATGTTGTACGAAACCAAAAGTGTCCTGTGCGGTGTAGCAAATTTTGTACACGTGTTTGCCCACGTACGTATACCACGTTACAAAAATAGCGACCAATGGCCATGCAAATACAAATACGTGAATTAAGCTAAACACTGACTGGTTTCATATTTTAAAAGATGTAGCACTAACGCTAAATTGAATGCGCACACAGCAAAATCCCCTATGAGGGTCACACCATCAATACGCACCCATGGATGCTCCACATGGAAGAGTGATGTGCAATTTTCGTATCACATGTACAATATGTGCACATTTGCACGTTCATATTGTGGGAAGGAACGGCCATAACGTCATTAATCGAAAAAGCGCAATGGCGATGCACCACCTGGTTTTTCTCTTAACAACAAACAGGGCAGCCATAATGGCTCTAAAAAAAAAGCAATGGTTTGCAAAATGTATGTCATGAAAATGTGTCAAAAAAATATATATTTTTTGCTTGGCCTCCCCGGAATATTTAAATATAAACTCTGTTTACCACGGGTGGCATATTTTTTTTTTAAACAGATTGTTATAAAAGGGAAATATAATAACGTCTTTTGTATCTGTATGCAGAATTCATCTAAGATTCTATTTACTTCCATTGGTGTTCATTTCCTCCAGCTTCCTTTCATTTCCCATTTCTTTTTCCCCCCCGACATCCACCCCTCCCTGTTGAGCAGGAGGAACATGTGGTTACTTCACTAATTTAAAATATTACCAATTATACCTCCATACGCATATAAGTATAGAAGAACAAATTAGACATACCCCTTTACATGTACAGCTTCTTTATTATTCTTATTTGCCACTAATTTGCGCGTATCACCTGCATTAACGTCAATTCTGGTGATAGCGCCGTCAGTCCTCTTTCACACAACAGGGGAGGTCCTTTTATAAGTCCCCATTTTTTTAGAGGTCCTGTTGAAGGAGCTCTCAAACAGGAGGAAAAAAAGCCGCACATGTGTATTCACAGGCAAAGAAAGGTACTTACACATACATATACACATGGGGGCATATGCGAAAAATCGCTCATGGTCATGGAAAAAATAACCACCCAGTTTTATAAGCCTGGGCCTTTCGTCCATTTGTTTTTCCCCTCCCGTACACTTCCCTGAATTTGCTCGTAATCATCCTATTATACACATTGAGTAACTGCGTAATTGCGCAATTGCAGAATGCTCAAGGATTAATATTTTCCCCCTTTTGCTATAATTTATACACACATAAGTGGTCTTTCACGTTTGCGTTTTTCTTTGTTGTTCCTTGGCCTCACCCAAGACCATAATGCTACATCTATGCAACCATTTTGTACACACGTGAATTGCGCTGTCACCAACGCTTTCTCATCACTATGGAAACGGTGGTGACATGGAGCTACGCATATGTAGGTATATCTACCTGCCCGCATACCTACTCACATGTATCACAAGCATCACATGCACGTACACATGCTAACTTCAGGCAACTGCTGCTACTTCGTTATTACAGCTGAATTGCGCCCGTCAAAGGTTTAAACTTTTGCACAACTTTTACCATAATTGGACTAATTGCATATCCTTCCACGTATCCATTTGGTTATTCAGTTTAATGGCATGCTAGAACTTCATTCTTGGGTAAAGAATTTATACATGGGTGGAAGTATTTTTTACACATAAACTTGGAGCATATAATCCAATTCAATTTGGCGAATGCACCAAAAAAAAATTATCATTTCTTTCGACAAAAAAAAGGGGAATGCTTGCAAATTTTATAGAAGAAAAAAATATATCTATTCAGGATTATTTTCTCACTCTGCTATTTTTGTTATAAACAATTAAAATGTTACGGAAGTCAGAGCGAGGGGAGCAGCCAGCGAGAAGAAAGGAAAGCGGATAGGAAAAAAAAAAAAAAAATAATAATAATAATAATAACATAAAACACAGGAAAGCAAAGAAAAGAAAAACAGAGAAAAGAACAGAAAAGAAAAAGAAAGAAAGAAAAACGCATTTAAGGGCAAGCAAGAAGAAACTGTAATTAAAAAAAACAAAAATTGTAGCCAAGTGAACAAAAAGTAGGCATATCAAAGGGGAATTCAAGCGGTATAAAATTGATACATGAAGGGACACACAAGAAAAAGTAAGGCTATGTGGTGAAGTGAACAGCCAAATGCAGTAACAGAGAGACGCATGTTGCGATGCAAAGACACATATGCCGCGACGGACGAATGAATAATGCGCAGAAGGAGAAAACGCCCAGATGGATCTCTTCTCGATTGCTTCCAATCTGCAGCAAATAGCCATTGGAGGGGTGAACTTTGTAAATAGCAAACTAAGAAAGAAAAGTGTAACTGGGAATTGTAATTACATCACATATATTGTTATAGGCGAAAATGAAAAGCAACCATACGACACGAATATATTTTTTCTACCATTTAAAATCTGCGGCAAAATAAAATTAAAAGAATTTAAAGAATATTTCCCCTTCAAGGGCAACATTATATTTCGCTTTAAAATTCCCGTGTCAGATTTAATTGATGTTATCAACGAGGGTATAGTAAACCAAGCACCTTTGATGAAAGAAGACACAAATGAGCAAAGCCAAGAGAAACATATAATTTCCGACGAAATTGAAATAAAAAATATATTAAGACAAGATCAGTTCAGTCACCTATGGGTAGACATAACCAACGAAGAGGCCTACATACCATTCTACAATGGAAACATTGTTGTAAAGGTACTATTTATTAATCATGAAGATTATAGGGAGTACAATGATATTTATTTTAAAAATATTCAGTGCTGTGAATATGATCGCCCTATTTACACCCTGAATGATACAAACCCCTGTTCCTACACTGTACTAGGGGAAGAAGAAAAGGACAAAAGAAATAGCACAGATAATGATGAAGAAGGAGAAGACGAACATTTTGACGAACATGTCGGCGATGCATCGCCTCGTGACAATTTGTCAAATTGGGGACCCTCCAATCATAGGGACAACATCCCCAGTAGAAACAGTAACAATGAACACACACATCATCTGGAGGAAGAATCAGAAAATTTTGTTCATAAGCAGTATGTCCGAAACGACCCTCCTAGTGAAGGCACATACAAAAAGGGTTACCCCTCGGAGATACCACAACAGAAGCAGCACCAAAATAAGGTTAGCAGCAAGAGAGAAGATGGCAATTTTTTTCAAAGCATTAAAAAGGAAGCAAGTAACAATAAATCGAGTGAACATATTTTGGAAAAAAACAGTTACACGTTCGCCAAGAAATTGTTGCCAGTTGGCAGAAGTAATGTCCAAGGGGGGTATGAAGACACGTCTATGGGGACCGCGAACAACGGACCTAACAGCGGCCCTTATAATAGTCCCAGCAAGGACAAACAGGAACGGCGAGATGCCATCAAAACGAACGTCAGTAACCGATTGAAGGAACTAAAAGAGTTCCGGTCCCAGGAGGAAGCGAAATTTAAAGAAAAGGTGGTCATATCTGAACATATTAAAAAACAAATAGTTAAATGGTCCAAGAATTTGGATGACTCATACAAAGACATAAAGGTCATGCTAAGTACTTTAAATGACGTCTTGTGGGAGGACTCAGAATGGAAACAAGTGTCCATGTCCGAGTTAATATCCAATGCGGCCACGGTGAAGAAAGCGTACAAAAGTGCCATACTCCTGTGCCACCCGGACAAGCACAGGGGCAAACCGATGGAGCGCGTGGTAAGGTGCTAGGGGAACACCTACATTTGTATATACATATGCATCTGCTTATGTGTTAGTGCATTTGTATGTGCAAAAGGTTACGTTTGCGCATGCTGCGCATATGTGACGCCGTGGTTGCCAGATCGCACTGCTACCTAATCGACTCGAAAAACAAACGGTAGCGTCAAAATGTGAGCAACTTAAAAAAAAAAATGGAATGCTGAAGCGTTTGACAAGTGTAAGACGGTTAAAAAAAAAAGCGGCCAATGGAAAAGAGTAGCCAATGGAAAAGAGTAGCCAATGGAAAAGAGTAGCCAATGGAAAAGAGTAGCCAATCGAAAGGCTTAGCTAACCACCATGGGCAGCTAAGGAACATGCTAAAACAAAGCGACTGGCAGTTAATAAAAAAAAAAAAAATAAAGAAAATACGAACGCGTGATACAGCGGACGAATAAAAAGACAGCTAATACTCAAAAAAGTGAAAACGCTTAATAATTGCACCACAGTATTCACAAATTTGATGAATAAATACAAACATGTATACATGTGCGCGTATCGGTTGCAGAGGGGAGGAGGTGCTATGAGAAGGCACCGTTTTTGCATATACCAGCAAATATACACACATGCATAGAAGCGTACGTGGATGTGCCTGATCCGTGTACACCTGTAGACACACCGTTTCTATGCCATGTCCATGATGTTCTCCTTTTCCCCCCCCCCCTACGTGCAGCTAAGAGCAGAGATGATCTTCCAAGCGTTAAACAATGCCTACAAGGAAAAAAAACACATGTGACAATTTGGGGGTACTTCTTCTCACCAAGCCGTATGTAAAGGTGGCATCCTTTTTATTTTTTTTTTGTAAAAAAGTTTCTGAAGGATTACCAAACGGAGGTAAATCATCGGCAAAATGGGATCCATAACAGGCATAGAAACGTGGTGGTTTCGACATAGTGCCGTTTTCATACAGTTCCGTTTTGAGACAGTGCCAGTTTGACATACGTGCCTTTTTTGATGCACATGCTCTTTTTCGTTTTCCCCGTCTTTCCCTTTTTTTTTTTTGTATAAAACATTCGTTTGTTCATTATAAAAATGCAGCCTGCGTAGGTATGTACAAATTAAGGAAGCATACCTGCGCGGTTGTATTCAATTTTGTACTTCATTCGTTGTGCTATTTTCTGGGTTGTGACTGCTTGCTGTACACCTCTGGCCAAGCAGTTCTCAAAAGTGAACACTAGTTGAGCACATGTTTTGTCTCCGCGTTTGCAAAAATGATGTACAAATATGGGGAGAGGGGTACACAACCGGAATGGACATTTTTGACACCTCCTTTTCCGCCGCGCCTACTCCTTGGAGCCCCAGTTCTGCGCAATCTTCACGGAAACTTCGCACTTGACTTTTTTCAAAAAGAAGGAAGCGGAATTTTCCATCGATTCCACGAGGATTTTTAAGGCATCCTCCTGATATTTTTTGTCAACCTCGATTATAATTTCATCATGGACACAGAGGATGATTTTCCCATTGATGGGTTTCAAATTTTTATACAGCTCAACTAAGGACAATTTCAAAATATCAGCACAGGTTCCCTGCACCGGATAATTCAATGCCTTGGTGAAGGAAAAGTAGGGGAATATGACTTTCCTGTTGGAAAGTGTAGAGTACTCTAAAGCCCTCATTTGTTTTATTTGATTATGCCATCTGTATATCCCTTTATAGTGCTCAAAAAAGGAGTTGTAAAAATAAAGGCATTGATCAAGGCTCATATTTAGGTTATAATATGTGTTTGCATAATTTTTCAGATTGACGTAATTCATTCCGTAAATTAGACCAAAGTTTATGGCCTTGGCAATGTGTCTATCTTCCTTATTTATATCAGCTATGGCTTTCTTTGTGATAATGCTAGCTGTGAGTGTGTGCAAATCAATGTTGTTATTGTACGCTTTGAGCATAATATCGTCATTGGTAATTTCAGCAGCTATTTTTAGCTCAATTTGTTTAAAGTCGGCGATTATAAATATGTTGTTTTTTTGCGGAATGAAAATTTCCCTTATATTTTTCTGCCTTGGGATTTGTTGTAAGTTGGGTTTCTCACTACTAAATCTGCCAGAGAACGTTTTTAACTGATTAAACGTCGTGTGTATTTTGTTTGTTTTTTTGTTTATGTGTTGTGGCAACTTTAAGTAAAAGGCGGAGTACAGTTTATACAATCTTCTGTAATTTCTTAATAGGACTACTTCCTTATGGTTGAGGAAATTCTTCAGGTTTGAGTCGGATGTATTTTCGATAAGCTTATTAGAAACATCCCTCACGCTATTATTTTGTAATGCTTTTAGCACCTGTTGCTGTGAGTTTACGTTAATTTCTTCGTCCTTCAGTTCTGCCTTCAATTTGCTCGTCTCTTCATTTAATTCGCTTAAAATTTCATTCGTACTTTTGTTCAAACTGTCCAGGTCCACAGTGATGCCATTAAGCTCCATATCACAAATTGGCAAAATGCATTTATTTTCAATATCGTTCACAGTCCCCATATTTTCTTTACAAATTTCAGAATTCAATTTTTTATACAACTTTAGTAAACAGCTGGAGTCTCTTGCTGCGTAAAAGAGTTGATTATTATTCAAGAGGGAATTATTCCACACACTATTTTGCTGTTGCTTGTCTAGGGTTACATTTAAATATTTCTCTACAATATTGTTTAGCTTAAATCCGTACATATTTTTATTTTTGTCTAAAAGTTTGCTAGCTATGTACGTGTCGAATATATTTTCCACTTGAAAATTGTTGTGCATTAAAAACTTGGCGTCAAATTTTCCATTTTGTATAATTTTTACCACTTTTCCATTTCTTAGGATTTGTCGCAGGCCACTCAAGACGCTCTCCTTCGTTATGTTAAACATATCATAAATGATCACTGGGTAATCTTCCACGGCGATCTGAATGAGGCGGATCTTCTCGTCGAACACCTCCAGCCCGGTTGTCTCAATGTCTAATCCACAGTGTGTTACGTTCTTGTATATATGATTAATCTTTTCGTTATAATTCTTGTCATGTATGAGAAAAAATCTCGACTCAATATCGTCGTCGAATTTTTTTACCGGTTCGTAGTACTCCAAGTTTACGCTACTCATCATTTTGTTGTCTCCTTCCAATTTGAATGTGCCAATCCGGTTAACAATGTTGTCATCTACGTTGATTATATTGTCCTGGATGTACCTTTTTGTAACTTCCTCCCCGTATAGCGTTTTTATCTCTTCACTGTACTGCTTCTCTCCCGACTGGACATCCCCTTGTCGAGGGTCACTGACATAACCACTTGAACTATTCGCAATGTTACGGCTATTCACAGAGGACTCCTGCATAGTCGGAACAATGTTGAAATCATTTTTGTTGGACCCCCTAATTGGCAATGCGCTGGAAGTGCTGCCCCCTAGGCTCACCTTGTTATGATTTACTCCGAGCGTGCTATTGAGTGTGCCTTGTTTCACATTTTCACCACTTTTGCTTCCAACATTGTTGTTGTCCGGATCCCCCATCTCCACATCCTCTCCTACATAATTAATCGTTATGTACTCTTTCGGAATACTCTGCAAAATGGCTATAAAAACGTCTACCTTTTTTAAGTTTTTCCCAGCAGTTTTTATATTTAACTTGTTTGTCTTTATAAAATTTCGAATGTCTTTTATTGTTGAATCGTTATTTATAACACAGTCTCTCATTGATATGGTTATGACTTTATCTTTTAGCTTTTCGCTTTCGTTTTCTTTTATTTCTTGGCATAATTTTATTATCCCTTCACTGCTCAATCGGTAGGATGATACATTTTGCTTGGACACATCGGGAGGTGCTTCTTGCTTTTCCCCGTTCGGGTTTGGAGGGGTGGCCAAATGGATGCTATCACCACTTGGTTTATCACTTTTTGGAGTTTTTTCTACAGGGGTTACAGTGCCTCCTGGGTCGACTCCCTTCAATATGTTTTTTATGTTTCCCTTTTCACTCTTCATATTTGTACTACCTATGCGGTTATTATTCATAGGCTCATCCTCTGCGCCGCCAACTTGATTGACTGACTTGTTATCTTTATTTTGGTTATTGCGCCAGGAGTCCACCGAGCCGATGTCGTTCCTACATTCGTTTTGGGCGCGATGCGAGGAGGACGTGTTAGGGCTATTTGCACTTCCACTCCCCACACCGCTAACCCTTCCATCAGCGCCAACGCGATACCTGCGAATTGCGTGTTTTGATTCGTACTCGTCGGCCAACTGCTTCATATAGTCGTACTCATCGCACAGTGTGAAGTCCAGGCCATCTCGAAGGGGTCCAACTTTCGGCACAAAATTAGAAGAAGGAGTGGTACCATTTGTCCCGTAACCGCTACTGCCCGAAATGGCATCATTTAAGTAGCTAATAGACATCTCCTTGATGGTCATATTTTCTTTATTGTACAAGTAGGGGATTCTACCCAAGCTGCCCTTAAATCTGTTCTTTTTAATGTCTATAAAAAAAACAGTTTCATTTGTTTTAGACACATGTCTCTGAATGATAAACACATTATCGGCTTCCTGTGTAGATTTGACACTACCAAATACAGACGCAATGGAGAGAAGATTGTTGTCCTCCTTCCTTGGGTGAACAACCAAAGTTATGTGGACATTTTTATTTGTGCTAAAAGATCTAAATTTATCAATAGCAATATTTTGTAGTTCATATATATCAGAAAATTTATTTATATTTAACATGAATTGTAAATTGTCAATAATGATATGCTTCACATCGTACGCATAAACTGCATAATCCATGGCATCTAAAACTTGGTCGATATTTGTGCTTCCATGAAATTTTAGAAATTTTAGTGGCAATAATTCAAATTTATCTGCATATAAATCAAATAGGTCAATATTTTTTTCTAAATTTTTTCCACAAAATTGATTTAACATTACTTTTCCTAATTTTATGTTATTAATTTCAAAGGACCCCCATAGGGTAGATACTCCTTGGATACAATAATCTAGAGAGAGTTGAGACAAAAGGGTAGTTTTTCCTACCCCTGTTGGACCTGTCCATATGGATAATTCTCCCATGCGTAAGCCATATAGAAATTTATTTAAGGATGGAATGGTTTTACTCTTAACTCCATTTATTCTATCCGGATATTTTAATTCTTCCAAAATATTTTGTCTCAAATCGTTAAAGTTTAATATTTGGCTATGTTTTACCTTTTCGCTATTTTCTATAAAAAATCTTACATCTATATTATATTTTAGACAGTCATTGGCATCCTTCACAACGATATTGTTTGGTATGTACATGATATTGTTCTGCACAAAGTGCAACGTTCGCACTTTGGATTCTTCTCTTGCACTAATTCCTCGTTCCTCCTCTTTGACATTTCCCGTGTCACGAGAAATGGGACTCTTCCTGCTATCACCTTCATTTTTCTCCTTTTCTCCTATTTTAAAATCTGATTTGTTTGTACCTGACATGGGATCTACAGTTGTGTTTGGGCCCTTTCCATCCCGCATACCCTCAGTGTGCCCATTTTTTTGGTCACTTTGCATATTTTCCTTAATAGTACCCTGTTTCTGCTCCGCTACACCGATGGAGTTATTGCAAATTGTTAGGGGCAACAGGAGACCCCCTTTAGTTAACAAATTCTTTCTCTTTCTCTCGAACAGCTGTTCATCGAGATATTGCACATTGGCATCGGTTATTACGTTCGTCCTCCCTAGCCCAATTTTATTGACAAAATTAAAGACGCTAGATTTTCCAGCCTTGTCAAAATCGAGCCACAGGTGTATTTTTTTGAACCTTTCCAAATATGGCAATAAATATATCGGAAGGGACTTTGAACCATTAGGCAGAGAAATGGCGGCATAATTCGTCTCCTGATTTACAGTCATGGCATCTATTTCCCCTTCCGTTAAGACAATCTCTTCAGAATTGTTAACCAAATGGTCTCCAAAAAAGAATAACTTCATTTCATCCTTCACATTCTTCGGGTATAATCTCATGTATCCTTTATCCCTTAAGCTTCTTACCTTTATTCGAACAATTTCGTACGAGTCTTTTTCATTCGTGTGGTTTTTATTTCCATTTAATCCCATGGAGTTCATATCATTCGCTTTTTTTATAAAGGGGAAAATTAAGCACTCGTGTTTTTCAAATTTCCCTGAATTTTCTAGCGACTGAAATTCCATGATAGAAAATCCTATATAATACTTTTTTAGCGTTTCTAAAGTTAGCTTTCTGTCTTCGATCAAATATTTCCTTGCCGCCTCTGCCTCCTTCGAATACAACAAATTCATGTTATACACCTTAACATCGTTGAAGGTTATTTTTTCCTCCTCATAGGTACTGCTTACAACAGTGCTTTCGAAATTACTTGTTACCAAGTCTCCCATTTTTAGTTTGAAATCGTAAAAGCTGCCTTTATACCCGCACCTGTGGCAGTAACTATTTCCGGTGTTTTTAAAAATTTCATGCTTGTACATATTATCATATTTATACTTGTGTGGCGGACAGAACGGGCAGTACTTGAGCGTTATCTTCACGTCTGTCTCTATGTACTCATACTTCTTCCTATTCAGGTAGCTGTACACGTCGTTTATATTTATTTTGTAATATTTGGATACGAACGTGCTCGTGGCGTGCAGCGCGCCGCTGTTGTTGTTTCGGCGGTTATCACCACTTCTGCCGTTACTTCTTCCCCCTCTCAACGGGCTATAGCATGCCCGCGAACCCAAATCCTCATCCCGCGACTTCCTTTTGAAATAAGGCTTCGATCCATTCTTTCGCCTCTTCACCAACTCGCAATTCGTCTTCAAGTAAAAATCCGTTTTTGGTCTACTCTTATTTCGAAGTGCTAACACATAATGGATAAGGATTAGGTAAAAAAGGAAAATTTGACATCGAACCATCTTCTCATCGAAATCATTTTAATTAGGTAGTAGCGACGCCTCCCTCATCCTCAAAGGAAAAAAAAAAAAAAAAAAAAAAAAAGGGATCACCTGCATGTGCACATGTCCCTGCTTATAAGTTTAGACGTCCGCATAGACACAGAACTGTGCATATAAAAACACGTGACGTGTGTGTCAGCAGACATGAGTCATTTCCCACGCGTGAAACGCATTTGTCAAGAAATACAAACACAAGGCGCACGCTGTCTTAGCCTATTTGGTTTACGTGGCATATATTCACGCTCGTACGCAACATGCAGCGGTTCGCCTTGTGCTAAATAGGCGCTTTGCTGCATACGCGTTTTAGCAACTATTGGCATTTTCTGCGCCCCTGAAAGGGGAAAACAACCAAAAAAAAAAAGAACGACAAAACAAAAAAAAAAAAGGAAAACCCATTTAGCCTCGCCAACTTTTGTAATAGTCACTGCTCCCTTTCACTCATGCTTTTCATAGGAGAAATGCAAGTGGTACTGGGAGGAGGGGCGGTTTACTTAAAAGGGATGGTTCTACAGCCATATGTTACTTCCATTTTAAGGAGACTGAAGAATTACATGACATATGTAATTGTGCATTGATAATGGGCACTGCGGTTAATGTGACGCATACCTACACAATCATCGAACAGCTTCGAGCGGGGGTTCACACGCACATGCCTGTAACCTGTGCTACGATTACACATGTATTATGTAAAGCTACATGCCACATACAGATTGGTGTACATCTCGGCCGCTTCACAAATGCACATGCAGGCTCATAGGCACGTACTCTCACGCATACGTGTATACGCAAAAACACACGTCAACGTAAGGAAAGAAAAATGGAACCCTATTCCTATTTCTCCTTTGTTCTCAAATTATTCACGAACAAAATTCGCCACATATATTTTGCGTAGGCACAAAAGATTTCGCATATGTACATACACAGCTTCGTAATTATGCATTTAATTCCCTCCACGCATTGCATACATATATATCCATTTGCACAATTGTGTTCGCACTTTCACATGTTACATGTATACATGCACGTGGCGCTTTTTTCTCTTAGTCGTTCCCTACATAGAACACCCCGCTTTTCGGGGTTGCTGTGGATCCCCTAAAAAAAAAAAAAAAAAAAAAAAAAAAATTAACTTTTTAACCTTTTAAAAACATGTTGTACTACAATTTTTTATATAAATTATTTGAATAGTTAAAGTGAAAAAATATTAGAACCATAAGTTACCGCGTGCTTTGTTGTTGTCGCAAGTTGGAGCTCCCTTGTTGCATTTTATCATTAGTTTTACCAGCGCTGCATGTTTTTTTTATGCTACCTTGTTGGCAAATCGCCTATATGAATTGCAACCCGCAGAATTGACTAAAATTGGAGCCACGTAGAAAAACAAAACAAGAAAATCCTGCTGCCCTTGTGCGTAGAAAACACTGTGCTAAATATTTACAGAATATTCCAATTTTGTAGAAGATAATATATTAAGCGCCAATTCGCAGGTAGCACAAGTTGGAATTCGAAGTCGAAATTGCAGTTAAAAGTGAAGTTGTGAAAAAATGGAAAGATAACCCCCATGGAATATTTTATACGTAGAAGAAAAATAAAAATTCTACGGAGAACTTCATTTTGCATATGCCTTATACTTGCCCGTTCTTGGCGTCCTAACCGAGTGGATGACCCAAGAGAGTTGTGGTGGCATTATCCCTCCACAGCCATATCATAATTTCAAGACATACAATTATTACATCCCCACTTTGGAAAAAAAATGCCATTGTACATGAATAGAGGTATAAATATATATATCTTAATAAAGCTATAATTTTGGGGGTCTGCAAATTTATTCCCTTCCATTTGTGTTAGCAGTCCCCCCCTTCTGCACCTGCGCGTGGGGACTGTCCTAAGTAGGGTTGTCTCACATTGTCCCTTTGCGTATGCTAATAACGAATCTATTTGTTTGTACCAATGCGCATGTGGAGGTCCACACATATTCACATGCTTACCCATAACGTACAGGCAACATGCGGAACAGAAGGGAATTGAGAAAATTGGCTAGGATACAAAAAAAGGAAAGGAAGCTCCTGTTTTCCAAAAAGAAAAAAAATTATCAGGGAAAAAATGTTTCCACAATCAATACGCCCGATGAATCGCTGGAGGAAGGATCAACAAAACAGGACGAAGGAAATATGAAGAGAAAAAGAAAGTACAGCGAAGGCAACAATTTAAGCGGCCCACTCAAAAAACAAAAAAAAAAATCCCATAGCAAAATTAAGTATGATATATCTGCTGAGCAAGAAAAGGATAATCAACTATTATCGTACCTGTCGAAGAAGTTAAAGCTTAACAACACGCACGATGGGAAAAATAACGAGGAAAAAGTTTGTAAACAATTGGAGAAGGATGGGTTTGACTCCAATTTGCTAAAATTGACCGATATAATATTTGGCGAATTTCAGAAAAGTTATAAAAAAAAATGTAAAAAGGGTAAAAATGCCCTGCGGGGGGATGATGACACCCTGGGGAGGTCCTCTGAGGAAGAGGAGGTTCTAAGCGAAGGTCAAGATGATGCAACAAGCGAGAAAGACACGGACAAAAAAGAGAAGAAAAAGGAGAGGAGGAAGAAGAAAAAGAAGAGTCACACAGGGGTAATGGAAAACGAAGCGGACGAAGATGCAGAAGAGGCGGAGGGGATGCTTTCCCCCAGGGGAAAGGCGAACAAAGGGAAAAAAGCCGCTAAAGCGGAAAAAAAGAAAAAGAAAAAGGCACCCAACTATCCAGAAGAAGCTAAAAAGATAGAGAAATTTCTCATGATTTCTCTAAACAAAACGTCGGAGTTTAATATAAAAAGCATTATTCAAGATCTGTGCAAATATTTTCACGAGCTGGAGGACGTGAAACTTAAAGTTATGTTTAATGACGCCCTCACCAAAATAGCATGCAACCATTTTAACAACGTAAATGCTACGGATATTCATATATGCATATGCGTGGTGATAATTTGTGTGCTGAACAATTTGGTATACCGGAATTTGCTGAAAGATTTTTTAAAAGTCCTGACTGGGGTTTTTAAACAACTCTATGAGGACAATCGCGATTTGATGAGAAAAATAGAAAGAGAGAATGAGCTAAGCAGTGTCGTGGCCCCTAACCATGACAACCTCCAAAATGGGAACGAGAATGGTGGTCCAAACGGACAAAATGAGCCGCTAACTCGTTCAAGTGAAGCAAATCAATGTGATATCCCCACCGAGGGATATACAAATAACGCTAAACAGAGTAGCTCGCAAAATAATTTTATAGTTACCCAAGAGGAACAGGAGAAATACCAAAATTTTAAAATCATTTTGAGAAACATACTGAAGAGTTTTTGCCTGTTTTATGCCCTCAGTTACCTCGATTTCGACTGCATAACTGATATCATTAACTTGCTGTGTGAAGACATAAGCATTAGCAGCGTGGATAACATAATTATCATTTTGAAGATTTCCGGAATGAAGCTAAAAAGTGAAGACATCAGTCACTTGAATTATATCACAGAGTATTTAAAAAAACAAATCGACAATTATATCGTTAGCAATAATATTTACGTCGAAAGGAGCAAACTACGATTTTTAATAAAAGATATTGAGGATTTAAAAAATGGCACAATGAAATTTCACTTTTTAAACAAATTTGAATTCCTATTCAGCATATTAAATGAGTTTGAAAATAAATATAACTTCAGGGGGAAAATGGTATCTTTTTCGTTCTTAAAAAATTTTAAAAGTGCCGAATGTGCCATCAGACAAGGAGGAAAAAAAGGCACTAAAAAAAGAAAAAGCAGAGAAAACGAAGAAATGGAAAAAAGAGATATGTGTACAAATGGTACACTAGTCGAGATGGAAGCTAAGACAGATGACAACGACAATAACCCTGTCGGTGATGAAGAAGAGAAATCTGTGAAGAACAAATTTTGCAAACTAAATTATTTAATGGCCGGTGAAGAAGAAGAATATTTTAACGAATCCTACTTTGGTAAACTTTTAAAAAAATATAAAATTCAGGGAATTTTACCGAAAAAAATTTTCTTAATTATAAAAAATAGTCTAGACGTAAATGAGTGTGTGCACAATTTATCTTTAATTTTAAAAAAGAAGAAAAACATCCCTCATGTCATTCAAACAATTATTCAAACCCTGTTGTATGAAAAAAAATATAAAGTTGCTTATGCCAAGATGTTAAGAAATATTTCCAATGTTAAAAGTAGAATCTTTTTATTCAGCTTAAAAACGGTGTTTATAAATTACTTGAAGAATATCAATAATTACGATTTAAAACAAGTCCTTTTTTTAAGTAAATTATTCACTTTTTTGTTTAAAGAGAAGTTGTTGAATTTTCACATTTTTAAATTTATCGAAATGGATCCACACGAAATTGAAGGGAAGAAAAAACAGAAACATTGTAACCTTTTCTTTTTCCTTAAAACCGTTTTCATTTTAATTTCGTTGCATGACAAGTCCGGTGATTTGAACACTAACAGTGAATTGTGGTGTCACATAATGGAAACCACGCAGAGCGGGCATTTGGGAAAGTCCACCATTTCTGCTTTTAAAGCAATTGTGAAGAAGTACATATTTGACGAAGCAGATAACATCGTGCGCGTGTACCCCAATTTTAAGATTAGATATGCTGAGAAGTTTTTCGCCTTTCTCGAGGTGGAAAAGGAGTAACTGGCTTTTGTGGCAGCGACGTTATCAGTGGTGTGCCAAGTCGGTTATTCATTTGTATTTTTTTTTTTTTTTTTTTTTATTCATTTTTTTTTTTTTTTTTTTTTTGTCAATACCTTCTTTTATTTGTTTCCTTTTTGCTCGTTTGTGAGCTTTCCTTCCCATTTATTTATTTATTATTTATTTTTTTTTTTTTAATTTTTCGTTAAGGAAAAAATCAGCGCACAGCTGTGTTGGTCATACATATGCGCTGCACACAGTTGTTATGCTAACATTTTGTTTTCCTCAAATGTTCTCGTTTGCCCAGCCGGATCCCCATTTAATTCTAAAACATTCGCGCAGTGGTCAGTTGCTGCTGTCATTTTTTGTATTCCTTCCGCGACCTTTGCTATAACTTTATAAAAATTGTAATTTTTTTTACCAATGCATTTGTCACTCTTCGAAAGAAGCCAATAGGGCCACGTTATGTGCCTAATTTTAACTGGTGAACAGGTGCCCATAACACCGTGTGGGTTATAATATTCCCCCTGTTAAAACCCAAATGACAAAACATAATTTTGTGTGCACCCATTTTTTGCGGAAAGGGTTTCTCTGATAAGTTGTGCCGCTATGTGACCCAACGGGAAAAAAAAAAAAATAAAACAAAACGCACACATATGTATATATATATATATACGTATCTATGTATTCCCCCTTGTGAGCATTAGCGGGACGCCCACTTTTATGTAGGCCACTCCGCCAGGCACATCTCTTTCCAGTGGGGTTCCTCTGTCACCAAATTGGAGAAGAACAAAATATATTTATAATACAGATCGATGTGCCATTTTCTCCCTTTTCCACGATGAAACGGTCGAAGGAGCATCACATATATAAGGATCCTCAAAACAAGTTTCCATTCCTCACTCGGTAGGGGTGAAATTAGGACACTCAGAAGGAATATGCATATTGGATTTACCATTCTTTTCCTTATGATATTCCAGAAGACGGCTGTTTTGTACAATTTTCCTTCCAAGTGTGGAAGGCAGAATACTGTCTTTGTTAACAGCAGCATAAAGTGCAAGGAGGGTGAAAAGCGATCAAGTCGCACAGCAAATAAGCTACACTGCATGAAAAAGCAGATAAAGAAAAACCAATTCCATGATCGGTGTGTAATTAATATTAAGGGAGGAAATGGGGGAGATGGCATATGCTGTTTTACAACATTTTCGCAGAAGAAAAATAAAAAATACGCTTCCGGTGGCCGGGGGGGGAAAGGTGGTAATGTGTACCTGATTGGGGATAAAAAAATTGATAATTTTCTAAGCCTTAAATTGAAATCTTCTTACTATGCTGGAAATGGAGGAAAAGGATTAAACAATAATCAGAGTGGGCAAAATGGAAAAGACGAATGCATAAATATACCTGTGAATACAATTATATACGACGAAGACAAAAAGTTTGTTAATTTTATTCATTTAAATGGCCAAAAAGTGCTAGTCGCTTTAGGGGGAAAAGGTGGAAAAGGGAATTACTCCTACAGAACTAAAAGCTTGAAAATCCCATTTGTCTGCCAATTTGGGGAAAAAACAAAGGAAAAAAAAATTTTCCTGAAAAAAATATTTTTTACCGATTTTGGCATTATTGGCTACCCAAACGTCGGGAAGAGCACACTCCTCAATAGGATCACCAACGCGAATGTAAAAATTGCCAACTATAGCTACACGTCCAAGTTTCCCAATCTGGGGATATTTAGGCGCGACCAGAACAGCGTAGAAGAGGACAACCTTGTTGAGGGGAAGGAGCGGGACGAAGGTGTTTTGGAGGAAAATAACCCTGTTCAGGAAAAGGACGAGGGGGACGAAGACATTTGGGGGGGTAACTGCGAGGAGGCAGAAGACCTACTGGACGGAGAAACTGATTCAACCGACGATACAGCGCATGAGGGAGGCGAAAAAAACATGGCAAAAAATAATTACACAGTTATCGACTTCCCGGGGATCATAAAAAATCTGGACAAAAAAGCACAAAATATATCGTACAAGTATTTGGAGCATTTAAAATATTGCAAAATATTAATTTACATGTTTGACATAAACAGTAGCATTGATGTGTTACTGGAAACTTATAGAAACATAAAGGACGTTTTGGTGCAGTATGACGCCATTTTTAAAGGCAAAAAGGAAGTGGTGCTACTGAACAAAATTGACATATACAAAGAGAACAAAGATAATGTGAGTAAACTGATCAACCATTTAAGGGAAAATTTAAAAATAGAAAACATATTTTGCATCTCTGCATTAACTGGAGAAAATGCAGTAGATGCGATAAATGAAATAGTTTCAAACATCAATAATGAAAACACCATAAGTGAATTTTTAAAAAGCTTGCCTGAACCAATCGATATTGCTAAAATTGAAGATAGTGATAACTTCCGGCCATCCCAATTTGAAATATACAAATATAAAGAAAATATTTTTATCGTTAAGGGAACATACATCGAAAATCAAGCCAACATTTTTAATTTTTCCAAAAGTGACACGTCAAAAATTTTTGCAAAAATATTAGATCAGTTGAATATAAATGTTAAGCTGAAAAATGTGGGTGCGAGGGAGGGCGATACGATTATCATAAGCAATTACTCATACGAGTTTTCCCTCGAGGGGGATTAGAAAAATAGGGTCCACTTGGCTAGTAGGAACTGGTGGAACCGGACTTCTGCGTGCCGTGTGGGGTGTCCCTTTGTGTGCGCAGTTTATGTTCGCCATTCTGTGCGCCATTGGTGTGTGCCACTTTGTACACGTTTTTTTTTTTGTTTTTTTTTTTTGTAATGGACTTTCCTATTTGTGGATATCCCCCTAGTGGAAGCATTGCACAGTTTTTAATTTGTTTGTCGCGTCGTTCATGTCACATAATTTTTTGTTCTAACCGCTGTGTGGTTTGTCCTATCGTCCATTTCACCCCCCACTTCCACGAGCAAATGTCACGGTAGAACAGTCCACTAAAAAGCCCTCCACACACCTCAACACTACCGATAAGGGGGAAAAAAACGTATATAAAATCCTCCAGAATGGTCCAAAATAGAAAAATTCAAAAGGGATCCTATCGAAGAGGAGTAGGGGAAACCCAGAGAGGTGGGCCAAATTATGGCCACACACACAGGAGGCAGGGGGGCAGTTACCAGCACAACGGTAGGAATACCAAAATGATGCATGAAAGAAATTTACAAAATAGCTCGTTCACCAATTTTGAAGAATTAAGCAAAAAACATACCTTTCTAAATATATTTTTACGAAAAAATACTAGTGGGAAATTATTTTATGATTTTGGAAAATCTCTAGCTACTTACTTCCTCAGTAAAGCTACCCTGAAGGAGTACTACGACCTCAACTTTTATATGCCATATGTACAATCTAAAGCACTGGATGGGACCTTGGAGCACATAACTGTAGTATCGAAAGGTGAAGATGGAGACTACGTTACTGTTCAAGTGAATGATATAGCCCAGTTTAAGAATACACTGTTAATCATGTATAATGAGTACAACCACATGTTACTCAATTTGACAAGTGAAAAGGAACAGAGTGAGTTGATCACAGAGAGTACCTCCATTGAGGAGGAATGTACGGGCAAGGAAAACTACCTTTGTCCGAATATTCCAGGCAGAGCTAATTACATACACTATATAGCTGACTTGACTGCGCTTCGGAACGTTCCCGGAGAAGGGGCCTATAGAGGGACCAAACATGGTGATCATCCTGGCGAAAGGAATAGCCAAGGGATTGGCGACATGACTATGGAACAGCTAGACAAATGTGTACCGCACGCGCGGGAGACCAATGACGACGAGAAGGACACTCTACTGTGCAGCAGCCAAATAAAAGTACTAGACATTGGGGTTGGCTCAAACTGCATATACCCACTACTCGGGAATTCCATATACAATTGGTCCTTCGTAGGGGTAGACATAAACTTAGATTCTTTGAAACTCTGCTACTTAAACATTTTACTAAATAACAAAGAAAACCTCATAGCGCTCAAGTATCAAAAGGATCCCAGGAAAATATTTAATAACGTTGTAAATAATACAGACTTTTTTTTTTTCTCCATGTGTAACCCTCCATTTTACAGTTCCTTGGATGAAGTTAACAGAAACCCCTTTCGAAATATCGGTGCCCACGTGAACGAAGTGGTTTATTTTGACACCGAACAAGTTCCCTCTACAGAGTCGCAAAAGGTAGACGACCAGATTGGCTCCGTGGGAGAGGATAAAACAATGCGTAGTGATCAGATCGAAGAAGATATGGACAAGCCTCGAGGGGCGAAGGGTGATAATCTAGAAACCAATTCGCCCTTTGGTGTGTCCTACAATGGTGGGGAGGAACATTTCAGTGGGATCAAAGAAGACATGGATGAGGGCATGCAAATAAGTGAAATAGGAAGTGACATACCTAACCATCGTGTCGGGGGAGAATACGGTTTTATCCTAAATATGATTAAGGAAAGTAGGTCCTATTTTTACAACGTAGTCTGGTTCACCACTTTGGTGTCCAAATTTAAAAATGTGAAATTAATAAAAAAGGAAATAATAAAGTCTATGCGATTGTACAATATAGATAACAAAAAACAAGTCAATTTTCTGGATGCCCTTACACGGAATGACATGCATTTTGATGATCAACTCCGTTTGCAAAAGGTAGAAAGGTGTTCCTTCCCGGTGAATATAGCGCAGTATCGAATTTTCGAGTCCTACACTGGTAGAATAACCAGATGGATCGTTTGCTGGTCGTACTACGGAGAGGAGCACATCCATCGCGTGAAACGGCTGCTCCACGCGCGAATTTGTAAAACATGAAAAAGCAGTTTACTTAGTTCTGCTTCCCCTTTCCACGCTCTGCTTTTTTTCGTTCCCTTGATAGGAACAAAACTGCCGTGGCTGCTTTGGGCTATGCGCGGATTAACATTTGACTTAAAAACAAAAAAAAAAAAATAGTAGAGGTGTGTTGCTACCAAGGCGAAACCACCTCCAAACGGCAATTGCTTACATTTGTGCTGAGTCGATAGAGGGAGGTGTTTGTGTGTATACCTCGAGTAGGAGGGAACACACATAAAAGGGGCCTACTCAAAGTCGCACTACGCACGGAGTCAACTTTCCCCACCGCATATTCTCTCAACTAAAGTGCAAGAGGATGTTAAAGGAGGAGAAAATGTCCAGGCCATTAGCCCGTTCATACTCCTCCAGGGCATTCTTTATGGAACCCTCAATCTCGTCGTACTCGTCCGAATCTATATGCACACTTTTGGAGCTGACCACAGTCACACTAATGCTATTATTCGAGTATGTAATAAGTTTTATTTTAAAATCAATATTACTTACCGACTGCATAATGCAATTTTCAATCTGTTTACTCCACTCAAAATTTTCTGCGTCGTTTGAAAACTTTTCATTCAAGTGCCCCAGTAAAACGGACTTCTTAACAATTTCGGTTAAGACATCTTTACTTAAATTGTTGAAAAGATCATTTTCTTCCAAAAGAGAGACACACATATTAATTTCGTTTTTGTCTTCTTCTATCAGTTTGATCATTTCTGTAAATTTTTTCCCTTTGCTTAAAAAAATGGCTATAACATGGGAAATAACGTCTTTATATTTTTTCCCAATTTTTTTAAAGTTAATAAAGTTGCCAACTTTGGAGCTGTTGCTGTTCATGTAGGTATCAAAGAGCTTTTCATTTTGTGCCTCTTCATTTGTCGCATTTTTTTCAATCTGCTCCAGAGACAAATTTTTATTAATCAAGTTGGAAACATTCTTTTCGCTTCTTTTAAGCTGCTTCATAATTTCTTCTTCTTTTAAGTTCAAATCGTCCATCATCTTTTTAAAATAATCGCTATCTATAAGTTCTTTGCTTTCTTCTGGTTTTAAATTACTAACTAAGGAGTTATCATTTTCCGATGTGAAATGTTCGAAGAAATTGAAATTTTCCTTTTCTGTGTCACTGGACAGGTTACCCGCGTCATGTCCATTTTCGTTTTCTTTTATATTTTTTAACAATTCTGGGTTTATGAGGCATTCCTTCTGGTTACCATTCGTCTTTTCTTTCGTCCCATCGTTTCTGTGAAGGTCATTTTTATCACTCCCTATATCAGTATCGGTGCTCACCCCATGACCATTATGCATATCCTTCTCCCCCCTAACTTGTACATTGCGCACATTGGAAATTATTGTCCTTTTGGAAGGTAACACTGGGTTAAGTTTTTTGCCAAATTGTGATTCCCCCCTTATGGCATGTATTCTCAGGTAATGGAAACATTTCCTCTTGTTCCTAATCCACTTGTAGGGGGGGAATCCTACCAAACTTTTCTCAACTTGTGGAATTCTCTTTTCAGGACTGAAATGTTTATTAACATGTGCGTTCGTTATTAATATGTTGTTGTTCGGTGCAAGTTTGCTAGCTACAAAATGCGCTTTGCAACAGTTGAATACGTTCATAAAAATGTGTAATAAAAAATTCAAGGTAGGAAAAGAGAATAATAAATTCATTTTCCCCCATTTCAGTGTTGTAAAAATGTGCACATATAAAAAACCCTAATTTATCGACTTTTTTTTTTTTTTTTTTCCCATGTTCCCTACATCACCGCGCTTGGATTTTCTCACAATATTAATTCGGGCTACTTTTTTGCGCGTGGCGTTTTCCTGTTAACGCCACGATTTGTGCTCTTTCACCGCTGGATCGTTCCGTTTGCGTAATTCCCACTGCTACGCCATGCTGCTAGTAGATATGCTGCTCCGCTTTGCTCCCATTCGTTTTTTCTCGTTTCTTCACCGATTCGCCAAATTGCCCTATTGCCCCAATTGGCTGTTGCCAAATCATATATGCACCTCCCTTTTTTGCATCTATCCATGACGTGATATAGCTCTGTATCGCCAACTTAGCTGTATTTACAATCGTATCAACGTCGACGAATCACTCATTTTATTTTTTATTTTTTTTCTAAAATGAAAGTGTTCGCTCCGCATTTTAAAGCGTAATGAATGGGCTTCACATTGCTGCACTTTTATTCTTTATTTTACATACCTAGGGTGTAACGCAAACATGTACAAGTATTAACACTTAGCCATGCTTTAAAAACACGTGTATGTTTAGTACATGTATAGTTTTTGGCTCTTGCGCCCTATTGAATTATCCCCACGTTCACGCTTAAAAATTGTTGCTCTCACCTAACTGTTTAAGAACCTAATTTTTTTTTTTTTTTTTTTTTTTTTTGCCCTCGCTTCGCCATTTCTCTATTTATTAAGAAAACCTGGTGACCGATAAATTAATCGATTAATTTTTGTTCACAATTGATGTGATATATATATGTAAGTTTTCCTCGGCTTCGCTTCGTGGCGATTTACTATTTTGTGTTTTCGTGTTACGGCTAAACAGGGTAGTGCATACGGATCGAAACAATCCTACCATTGTATATGAACCTGCTCATTCATTAATTTTGTGCTCACCCCCGCATTTACACGTTAGTTTGCCACGCTGAAACGTATCCCCAAAGAGAACTTGCTTTTTCTACCGCCAACGTATACACGCACGAGTGGTATTAGCCAGATTGGAACTCCGTTATAGGTTTTTCCGTTTTGATTTGTATGAACAAGGATCCACACAACGGAATATTCTTTTGCTCCATTTAGGAGGCTTACCTTTATAAAAACTTATATTATCACACATTTTGCCTGGTTTGGTCATCACCCACACATAATACACACAGAAATGTCCCCAGCTGCGCACGTAATTTTCTTCTTACTGTCCGTGTTGCTGCTCGCACATGGAATCTCTTGCTGGTCAGACGAAGGGCACATGCTCATAAGTGCCGTCGCATACGAAGGACTTACAGATGACGAAAAGTTAGTGCTAGACAAAATTTTTAAAAACTTCAAAGAAGATAAGGATTTCAGTGACCCCGTGACTGGAGCAGTATGGCCTGATCACATAAAGCCAATTGATTACCATTACCCTGATAAGAGTAGGCGAATAGGGGGGGTCGAACTAATGAACAAATGGCACTACATAAGTACTCCATACAACCCAATGAATATTACCCTGAGTGAGTACCATGAACAATTGTACAAGAAAACGGATAATGCTTTAAATGTATTGAAGATGGTATTTACTTCATTAAAAAATGTTAACAAACAAGAAAATCATGGAACATTTTTTTCCTACAATTTTAACCTAAGATACTTTATTCACATTATGGGGGATGTACATGAACCGTTACACGTTGTCGAATTTTTCAATAAACATTTTCCCGAAGGAGATAACGGAGGAACTGAAATTAATATAATGTATAATAATAAGGTGGAAAAATTGCATTACTTATGTGATTGCGTTTTTCATACCAGGAGTAGAAAATGGCCCACCTGTGGCAAGAAAGAAATGCTGCAAGAAGCAAATGCCTTGATGAAGATGTACCCCCCTGAGTATTTTGGAGACAGATTAAAAAATGATTTAGGCGATATAGAATATCTAGATTTTATTATTAATGATAGTTACAGGAAGGCAGTGGATATCATTTATTCTAACTTCCCCCATGATACTCTTAATAACAAAACTGCCTACGCCTTAAACGATTCTTCTGCCAATAGTCTAAAGAAAATGTTGAATGAGCAAATAGTTCTAGGAGGCTACCGCTTAAGACGATACTTAAAAATTATGATTGCAAACGTACCGGATGATCTGTTGAAGGTGCATTAGTACATTAAATAGAAGCAACTGTGTGCCCCTTACCTACGCGTGTTTTTTGCGCGTTTATATTTAGCACATTCACAGTTGGGTACCATCTACACATTTTGCACCACTTCCTGAACACGCCTCTCTCATCAGCTGCGAGAAAGATATTCCCCCCTGTTTATAACCCCCTGCCCATTTTTGTTACACGTCCACTTTAAAACATTATGCAGGAAAAGCTTTTCAGTCGACGTTGTACACCTACTCATAGTTTAATACCTGTGCAGATTTTTTTTTTTTTTTTTTCATACACCCCCGATGTTCATTACACATTGCTGTTCAAATTTTGCACGACCGTTGTAGCGTATGCAGGGATAAATTAACATTGTGTGTTACTTCTAACATGTTCGTACATCCTGCAGAAAATTCCATGATTTTATTTTGTGCGGTTGTTTTTCGTTCGAGGAAATACCCCACTTGCTGAGAAATACGGGACTAATTCCTCCGAAACAGTGTATAATATATATGCATAAAAAACAAGGGGACGGCATTTTTTAATTAAACATTTTTATGAACAAACTTTTCTGCTTCGTCCAAGATAGCACGTCTAAAAAAAAATGTTTCCATTTCCTTTCTTCCCTTTTGCAAATAATAGTTATGCAAAATGGAAAAAACAAAAAAAAAAGAAAAAATATAATAAAGGCAAATTAGAACAAAATGTAGTAGTGACCTTGAGAAACGGCCTAAAATTAAACACCCGAAGTAGTCTCCCCCATTTTCGTATCATCAAAAATAATTACATTTCGCGGTGTCTTTTCTTAATGCCATGTTGAAGAGCGAAATAGGGATTCCAAAACGCTTATGCACTTTGCATACATTTATGGGATGTACATACGACCACACTTTGGTGTACACAGGTGCACACATTTGTGTATGTATGCGTGTACGGAACTGCGGGGGACAACATTTTTTCTTTTTTCCTTTGGACACGCGAAAGGACATCAGTTGGTTGTGTCGCAATTTCTATGCTTGCGTTTTCGAATTTTCTGATTAAAGTGCTTCAAGTGCAAAGTTGTTTCATGGGGTGGCATTACTCTCATTATATAAATATGTGTATACGTGTGTATGTTTTTTTTTTTTTTTATTACTCCTCTGCTGTGATGCAATCGTCGTAATGACACCTCCGTTTCTATTTTAAGCATATTTTTAATTTAAAACTTTTAAAAATTAATACCTGCCTGTGAGTTGTGCACCTGTCCAGTGCGCACATATCCTTGCGCACTGCTCTCACTCCGTATGTGTTCCCCACGTTGATGCTCGCGGCCAGGTTCGAAACATTGTCTCGCGGAGGAATAACAACACTTGCACTGGCGCAATGTGCACACCAAGATAGATAGATATGTACATAATATACACACACATGCATGCGCTGCTCCACATGCCCACGTGACCGCCATGAGAACCCCAATCCATGCACTTGTATTTTGTGCATTGCCTTTTATCCAAAGAGTAGCGAATTGGTCAGATGAACCGCATATGCTCATAGCGCACATTGCATACGAGAATTTAAACGACAATGAAAAGGAAACTTTAGATCGAATCTTTGCACACAGCCATGATAAAAATTTTGATAACATGATAAGTGCATCAACATGGCCAGACCACATAAAGGCATCGGATTTAAGGAGATCCCATTATTCATTCCCATTTGAAAGACAAGAAATTTTAAATATCTTTAACGACTGGCATTATGTACGAACGCCTTACAATCCCATGAACGTGCATTTATCTCCCAAGCATTTATATGGCCACAAGGGGAAACATAACGCAGCAGGAATTTCAAAACACATTTTCAGGACTCTGGTGAGCATTAAGAAGAAGCCCAAGTATGGTTCCTACTATTCCTACAATTTCTACCTAAAATACTTCATCCATTTATTTGGTGATATTCACCAACCATTACATACAATTAATGTATTTAATGACCATTTAGTTAATGGAGATAGGGGAGGAAATAACATTACTGTGAGTTATGGAGGCCTCACTGGTAATATACATTACTTATGCGATAATATCTTTAACACGAGAAGGAAAAAGTGGCCCACTGTAAATGTAGACAAAGTTAAGACGGATGCTATGAACTTGATGAATTCTTATCCTCCTAGCAAATTTGGGAACCAGCTCAAAATCCCCAGAGACAAAATTGCATACATAGACACCATTGTGCACGAGGCCTATGAGTTGGCTCTCGAATATATTTACAATAGATTACCCGTGGATAATTTATCTAGAGGAAAAACATTTCCTGTTAATAAAACTTTTGTGACGCAACTAAAGAATGTTCTCAATCGGCAAATAGTTTTGGCTGGGTACAGGTTGGCGGAGTATTTAAAGGACATCCTCGATAATGTTCCGGACGATTTGTAGGTCTTGCGCATAGGGGTGGGGTAAGAAAACCCGAGCCGTCGTCAATTTCATTACCAAATGGGACGCCCCCAAAGCGGCTTTTACCTGTGGGCTGCAACTCTTAGATGCAAAGTACGCCTTTCCATCCAAGATACCTCCTCATGTGAACGGTTTTTTTCCCCTATGTCGATATAAAAGGCAGATATTTAAGTTTGCGTTTTTAATTTGTTTCTTTATGTTTGCGTTTTCAAGTGCACACTTTCAGTGATTTCTTTTGTGTGCGTTTTCAGGGGTCTCCCCCCATTCGTAAATTCACCAGTGCGAACAGAAGGACATCCCGACTGTTTACACATCCGCTTTAGTTTTTCGTACATACATACACCACCCTCTCAGCTTTGATAAATTCTCAAAATAACGTTGCCTCTTTTTTGGTTATAAAAGTTGTGCAAATTGAAGGAGGGGACAAAAAAAATGCACAGTTTCAATGCAAGTGCGGGGAAGGGGTGTGACCACCTTGAGCCCATATGCATGGTGCTGGAAAAGGTACGCTTTCCTATCACACGAGCTCCCAGTATGCAGGTTTCTCTTATGCGCTCTTTACATGGCACAAATTATTTGGGGGAAGAGCAAAAACAGACGGTAGGATATTTCCCCCGCATTGGACAGCTTCATCAATAGGGGATGAGCAGGGGGAAAAAAAAAATTAAAATAAAAAAAGCAAGCAAGAAATAATTTAGTGCTAACAAGTCTTACATTCCCAGTGTAGGGAAAAAATAAAGCACTTGCCTCTATGTGCAAAAAAAAAAAAAAAAAAAAAAAAAAAAAAAGGAAAAAATGCACAAATTGAAAAGGATATGTGTTTGAGGATAACTCTCCATTTTGTGACTCCCTGCCATGTGAAGCCTTTTATGTAACACACAGTAGATGCGTTAAACATTTCTGGAGAATAGATAAAATAACGTATACAAAAGGGGAATAAATTGGCCAATGTGCACCACCTTGATCTCTTAATTCATTCTACCGTAATACAGAAGAAATCAAATCGGCGTGCCATGGGTGGAGTGTGGCAAAGGCAAAAAGGGCCACGAAGATACGTACATTATAAAGTACACATGCACATGCAAGTCGCACATTACGCGTACCTTGTGCCCACCTAATTGGAGGCCTTTCAAAAGTGAAGGTTCTCACACCTATGGAGAACAAGTGGACTTAAGGGAAGCGTTAAAAAAAAAAACCTTAACAAAAAAGGCGTCAAAGCGGGCAGTTCTGCAGAGCAACACATACAGGAACATATGAATGATTAAGTGGTAAGCACAAAGCCAACATAAACAGAGCTATACTCCAACCCGTGCCTTTGCAAAAGTACACTCAAGTACCATTTTGGCCACACCTTGAGCACACACAATCTCTGCGTTCCAGCCCATCCCCGCAACCCCTTCTTGTCATATACATCAAAAATGAACGTACTCAGCCAAATCGACGATTGCTTTACGAATTATATAAAAATTCATGGCGCGCAGGAGGTGGACTCCTACTGGGATGAGGGAATTGTGGTGAACAAGTACATCGAATTGGGAAATGGGCACGAAAAAAAGGTGAAAACCCCCAATGCTACGAAACAGCATGGTGAAGAGGCCAATCAGGAAGATGCCCCGCCTGCGCAAAAATCAAAGTGTGGTAGCGAAGAGTGTCCCAATTTGTGTAAGTCAATTTTGAAAAAGGAAAACCTCTTCACTTGCAATGACGTGGTTGAAGGGTGCGTGTGCCTAAACACGCTCGATAATATAGCGGACCTTAAGGACACAACCCTAGTCAGATGGACATGCATGGTGCAGCAGATAATTTCTCCCGAAAGCTACGTAGGAATTTACAAATTAAGAAATAAAAAAAACGGAGAAATAATTTTGAAGAGCTCAAAATATAGGGATTACATCGATACGGATGATGAGAACTGGGAGATAATGGAGGACAACGAAAAAAAGAACGTGGGAGAATATTACTATATAAATTATGAGCAATACTGCAAGGTGGCGGATGATGATAAGAGAAACGAGCAGGACACACACCACACGAGCTGGAACAACCTTACCGATGAGGCTAATCCTAACCTGAGCAATAAATCAACTCCCGCTGCAGCAGGAACGAGCACCAAACAAATAGACAAAAAAGCGTGCCCAAAACATTACGATCAGACAAAAAAAGAAGATCATACTGTGCTAAATAAGCAGAATGATGACATACCTTTTTGCGAAAGTGATAATAATTTTAAAAAGTATTGGAAAAGATATTTATTTCTCTGCACCAATGTCCCGGGAAATAAAAGCACTTGGGTGAAACAACTGTGTGATTACTCTTCTTACTACAGCAATTGCGAGAATTTTTTAAAAAACGAAACCGTGAAAGGTAGCAATGTGTGCGAGGGGAAGTATACGCCCCTTTCGAGTTGCTCCACTGAAGAGGAGGGCAATGCTAAAGGTGGATGTGTCTCCACGGATGATGTGCGTCTCTCGCGAGAAACGATCTGCAGTAGTGAGTTTCAGCCCGAGGAGTGGACAACAGAGGGTCACGCAACTGGCCACACAACCTGTTTTTCAAAGGATACCACCATTAGTAACGCCCCCCCAAACGATGCACGACAGAGGAGACCCCCCAGTGAAAGGGAAAAGAAGAACAAAGTCAGGTGTATCATAAAAATATACGACGATAATAGCCAGTACAATGGCAAAAACGAAAACGACTTCCTAAAGCTGAATGACGTTATTGAAGTCATCGGAATATATCGCAAGCATCAAATAAAACACTTTGAAAATTGTGAAAAAAATTTGAATTTTTATTTTTATTATGATCAAAATTTTTTACAATATCCTTGCATTCATGCTTTTCGATACATCAAGGTCAAGCGCTTTAATCCGTTAAGTAGATGTATATTATTCAAAAATGAATTGTGCGACATTTTGCAGAGTGGTCCTTTCAGCACCATCGATGAGCTCAGGAAACATCTCCTCATGTACATCTCGAACAGCTTTTCTCACGACTTGCTGGTTGCTCATTATTTCTTCTTTTACTTGTGCGGAAGTTACATTGAGGAAAGCAAACTCAAGCTGGGAAAAGTCAGTCTAAACATTTTTAACATATCCATGGACGAGGAAAAGTGTGCTTCCAGCACGGAGACCACCATTAAGGAAAAACAGCAAAATAGTGACGAGAAGGATAAAGAAGTCTCACCAAAGGAACCGCTTCAAAAGGGGGAAAATACTTCAAAAATGATGGATGCACATAAAGATGTGCAAAATAAATCATACCCAAGTCACGCCACCCAAATGAACAACATGATTAAAAATTTAGTTCCACTGTATAGGTATATTCCCCTCTGTCTAAAAAAATTAAGCAGCCAATATTTAGTATCCGTAATGAATCACCAAAATGGAGAATTAAAAAAAGGGAAACTCCAATTGGCAAATAATACCTACGTGGTTTTTGACGAATGTGTGTTAGAAGAAGGCAAACTTAACACCGTTAGCACTAAAAATTTCCTCTGCATAGAAAGGCTAATTACGTCACAAGAAATACCATTCATCTTTAACACGGACATTAATTTCGAAACGCAAAATAACGTTTTAATTTTGTCCAAGAAAAGGTCCATGTTTGTAAATTATGTGGATATCCCTATCCCTGTTTGTCACCAAAGGGGGAAGGGCCTCGGGGGCGTAGGTCACAGTGGTGTCATCACCTCGGCCGTCAAAGAGGAGCAGTCGGGATTGAGCAAAATGGACGAGGGGCAGAATGTAGGAAAAATAGGAAAGAAGGACGAAGAAGGTGCACATGGAGATGCGAAAAACACCTACAAGGAAAACGAATCTGAGAAGAACTCCTCCCCCGCGTTCTGCGCCGAATTCGTCAACACCTGTAAAAATTACCACCCCAAGGAAGATGAACTAATGCAATTTAGAAGGTACATAAATTATATACTCTCAAAAAGCCACTCTGCCAAAATCCATTCAGATGTAACGACATACATCACAGACTCTTTTGTGTCTCTGCGACAAACCTGCAAAGATGTGAACCAGTTTGTTTTAAACTCATGGATTTGCATGTCTCGAATTTGGGCCTTTTCAGAGGGGTGCGACGAAATAAGTAAGGGTTACTGGGATTATATCATGAAACTTGAGGCTGCAAGGCGCTTGCGGCTCAGCCACTTAGACGAGCTTTACATTTGATGGTTTTATCTGTCACTGTTACGACGCATCCGTGGTGTCACTTTTGTCGTCACGTATGGGATGTGTGGTATATTCCATTCCGTTTTGTTACTACCTATTTTATTATTCTTATTTTTTTTCCTAATTGCAAGCCGGTTTAGCCGTACCACTGCAAGGAAACTTAACGTATGGCACATTTTCACCGTTTAGTTTTCCTCTTAAGCAAATTTTTAAAGGACAAAATGGGTGTGCTTCACACAAAGGGGACACTCAAGGAGAAGCAACATGTGCCGGTGTAAATGTGATAATTCTTAGTGAACCTTCCCATTTGGGCTTTAAAGTGGCAGTTCTACGTAGCTATTTGAGCGAACGGATTATGTCTACCCCCCTTTTTTTTTTCACCCTTCCTTTACTGCACACACATTATGCGGCACACTATGCATCATTTTAACTTATGAATTTATGTTCATATTAATAGGTGTTGTCACACATGGTACGTGTATATTGGTATACGCGTAGGTGCCCCCGTTATACATGGGTCCACCTACAAATGCACGCACACCAAAGGGGGGAAATTTCCTCCTTTACATTTTTGCAGTTGAAGAATTTACAAAATGGGGGTTAGTACTACTCGAGGATGACAAAAAATAAGTTACTCAAAAACGAAACATTGATTAATTTGTCCCTCACTAAACGTTTTAATTGCTTGATATCTTTGGTGTCCCCTACTAACAAATCTGTGATGAGGAAAAAATTCAACGGCGAAATTTCCCCACCATTAAAGTTGTCCACGCTGTCGTTATTTTGCGCACTCTGAAAATGGGAGTGCATAGGCTTGTTCATATTTGAATTGTAAAAATCGAAAAAAGGAGGGGAAAATATTTTCTCTGGTAGTTTATTCTCTGTGCTTCCAAAATAATTCTTTAATATCCTGAGGGAAAAAAAAAAAAAAAAGTAGAGTCGTATAAATGACTACCTGTGAACAGTTCTTCTACTACAAAGATAAAAAAAAAACACACTTAATGGAGACACACTAACGAATGAAGATTGTTATTTTTACCAAGAGTGAGGGATTGTGCAACTCTCTAAAAGGAATTCCTTAGTAATATTTTCATACTTATTGTTGTCTTCACTTATGCTTAAGCTAAAAATGAATGGGTACTTCATCATCATGGACGTTGCAATTTTTTGCTTTATCTTGTATATACATGTGAGATTGCAATTCTTTATTTTTTCCAAAAACTGAGTGTCTATTTTTATCTTGCATAATTCCTGCTCGATTTTTCTTTTTCTCATATTGAGATGGAGACTACTTTCCGAGGGATTGGGCCCACTCGTATTACCCTCAGCTGACCATGCGTTATTCACTTGTTGGTTGGTATTTTCTACCACTGTTTCCTTCCCATCCGTCTCTTTAGTTCCTCCGGATTGTTCGTTCCCATCACACGTTGTTCGAGCAAAATATTCCTTATTTTCCACGTTGAGGGATTCTTCCCCTTCATCTGAGCTTTCCGTTTCGCTGGGCTTTATCGAATACTCACTGGACGTGCCTTCCGAATTGGCATAAATATGCACGTACTTGTTCATCAGTTGGTACATTTCGTTCTTTTTCCTTTCTTCCATTACGTAGCAGGTATCTTCATTGCATCTGTCCGAGTTGATGTTCATTCCATTTTGACAGCTGTTACTAAGCTGGGGTGGCGCTTCGGACAAGATTTCCTCCTTAAAGTCATTCAATTTATTCGCATTCTTTATGTACTCCTTCAGGTCACTCTCGCTACTGTCCTTTCTTTCATTTCTGGTTATATCGGCGTTATTCATGGAGTGCGCTTTTAAGTGGTATAAATCGTCCTGTGGAGTGCCCTTCCACTTTGAATTGTACGAGCTGTTGGTGATGGCAGACAGCCTGGAGAGCTGCGAGCAATGCGAAGAGGCAGACGCGTTGGAATGAACCCGCCCATTGGACCAATTCGAAGAGTTGGATGGGGGCATTCCACCTTTAACACTCCCCTCATTCTCCCCGCTTGAAAAATCGGAAGAACTAATCGCGTGAGAGCTGGAAGACTCATCTGACTGATCAGAATCGCTAGAGCAACTAGACTCCCCTGAACTGCTATCACCTTCTCCTTCTTCACCAGCATGGGAAAAGGTGCCACTCCGGAATGACTTCAAATTTGGATCATCCCGACCTACTTTTGAATTCCCCCCGTGGCTTCTTTTTCCCTCCTCATTTTGTACACCGTTGAAGAGAAGCTGATAATTGCTCTCCTCGCAAAATGGATCATCAGGACCAAAATAATAACTTAAAAATATAAATTTAGACAAGTTAAAATTTTTGTGCTTCTCGATAAAACCCTTGGAACACATAAAAAAAGGTACCTTGTTATATTTGTACTTAATAAGGTCTGCAATTTTTTTTAAATGACTTTTTAAGAAATCAAACGGAAGGCAAACTAAATCGATCATCTCATCACCATTAATTAGATACTCTTTAAGAAGACTCATTTTTGTTTTTTCCTCTTCCATGGCTACCACATCTATCCATTCCCCAGAAGAGTTAAGAAATTTATTATTATAAAAATCTCCATCGAATAAGACATTTTTACTTTTATATATCCCTTTTCCATTCATTTTGTTGTTGACCCAGTTCCCTTCATAACTTGATTGATTGTCTCTCCATTCGAAGTGGCCCCAACCATTTCTTGCATTATTCTCGTAATACCCATAATAGACATCCCTATTCAAATATAAATTAAATCCCAATCCGCTTTTTTTATTATTTTTCCAGTTACCAATAAACTTGTTCGCAATTACTTCTTGACCAAAGGTGTTTCTCTTTAACGTTATTAAAATTCCGTATCCATCTTTTATATATTTGTTGCATTTTTTTTTCTTCTTTTTGTCTGATTTTTCTCTGCTCAATGTGAAGCCTTTCGTTTCGATTTTTTTAATATCTTCGCCTTTTTTGCACACCAAATCATAGTCGCTTTCTTTGCTTCCGTGAGGCTCGTTCTCCTCTGCAGTGGTTGTAAGGGGGGACATAAATGGGCGCAAAAACGGGCGACTACATGCGTGTTAGTGCTATGGGGCACAATATTAAAAGTGATGAAAAAGGGAGACAACAAGTTCCCCTTCTTAGCCACTCAATAAACACACCAAGTGGGCTACTATTATTATTTTATTATTTTTCTGCCGGCGAAGTGGCCATCCTAGAACACATCAAAAGGAGCACTCATTTTTATTCAAAACAGAAATTGTCAACGTTGTTCATATGACGACTACCGAATACATACTTTTACATTGTCCAATGTAGATGTAGTTATAGGACTTAAAGCATTTGACATTCTTATAATTAAAAATATTTAAAAATTCTTCTCTTTCATTGACTACAAAATTGAGAGCGGGGATTTCCTGACCACCCTTTTGGCACATTTGGTTAAAACGCGCAGGAGAGTATTTCCCACAGGGGGGACAATGTGTGCAAACAAAAAAAAAAAAAAAAAAATTTCGAAAAAATTTCCCCCCAATGAGGTCTACCCGTTTGGGAAATACAAAAATGGCCAACTTGGTTTATAACATGAGTGGAACATTAAGGGACATGTTCTGCGAAAAAGGGAAATGTTTCTTTTGTCCTCGTTTTTTCGTCACCATTTTTTTGACCCATTCGTTCAATTAGCTCCTGTTCAAAATGCGATGGCGGAAAAAATGCAGAACCGATACGTTGGTACTGTTAGACATGGGCCTCCCTACACACGGCAGCTATGTTTCGTCTAAGAAGGAAAAAATATATATCCTCTCATGCATAGAGCATACATGCGCGTATTTTATAAACGCTTCTTTGAGCTTCTTTACAATTTAAAAAATGGAGTAGCACAGAAGCAAGAGCCAATATGTAAGCAAGTGAAAACAATTGCGTTTCCACTAAAATGGACATGTGGAAAGTGAGGAGCGATTTATTTATTTTTTTTTTTCAGCCTTTTCATTATATCTGCCATTTCTGCACAAAAATAAACACACAAAATTGGTGAATTCCGTGAAGAGAAAAGCAAAATCATAGTGACTCTCTCTACATGTATGTGTAAATAAACGCTCGTGTGTACACTGTTGAGGATGCTAAGCGGATGACGCATGTCACTATGACTGTGAAGCGGCTTCTTAAAAAAAAGAAAAACGGAGATTACATTCATGCATACAAATATAAGTACATTTTTGTCTTTCAGATGAAGTATTTTTAGACAGTCTTTTTTTCGATTAACTGGTTTCTCCAACCCACGAAGTGACGTACGAAATAAATGAAAACGTGTCATCTCCTTTTTAACATGCCTTAATAAAATTCACACAAAAACCTTTGCCGTTCGTGCCATCGCTAAATGGGCGCATCCCCAAGGGATTATACTCCCCTCAGTAATGACGGTCCTTCACGTGACACACATCCCATTTGCTATTCCTAATTCGTTACACGGAGTAACATATGTGTAAACCGAGGGAGACATAAGCATAGGCATATACATGTGTAGCCTACCCATTTGAGCACCTCGAAGTAGAATGGGTGCTTATAAAATAAAAAGTTGTGTGTATGTTTATATATTCATATGTTTACATGTTTGTGTGTTTTTTTTTTTTTTTTTTTTTTTTTTTTTTTTTTTTTTTTTTTTTTGTGTTTGGAGTTCAGAGGCTTGCTCGTCCGATCGCAGCCCCTACGCCTTTCTCTACTAACTATTCTGTTTATTTGGCTAGAGCGGCGTTTTTTTTTTTTTTTTTTTTTTTTTTCCTTTTATTGTTTGTAAGACGTATATCCTTTTCTTAAACAATAAATGTGGAAAACTCAACGGGGGTGCAAAACATAATGGTAAAATGCACTGGTGAATGAGTGGTTATTAAAATGAACAACTCTACTTAATTATTAAATTTGTTTCTTCCAAAAAAAAAAAAAAAAAAAAGAAAAAGAAAAAAAGGGGAACGAGGGATACGATATAAAAAGGCAACGATAAATAAACGAAACCGCGCTAAATAGGCAACTCGCGCAAATATAACTTGGCGAAGTTTCCCTTCATCTCAACTTTGCGAAGTTTTATTTTACTTCAACTTCGCGGTGGCACTCGCTCTCCTCATCTACTCTGTGTGTCTGAGCTACTAATTTTAACCTATACAAAATCTGAATAAATCGTTAAAAACTGCGGGGGAAAGGCAGGAGGGAATAGGAAAATGTGTTATAAAGATTATTGTAAAAAAAAAAATTTACAATTTTGTAACGTTTGCGACACATGCTGTTTTGTTACGCCACATATACATAGCATCTCTGTTGGAGATACAGCCTATCACCACACAAATGTTAGTGGCGTAAGGGTGAAAAAAAAAAAAAAATTACTGAAGTATCCTCCACTGGGCAAGGGGAACAGGTGGAAGGTCCTAACAAATTTGATTGGCTTATTCTCCTCAATGATGATGTCTCCACATACTAAAATTAAAATTCCGTTATTGGGCGTCGGCTGAATATCTAGACTTAGACATTTGTGGACAACGGTGGGTGGTAGTTTATTCAGTCGCTCGATTATCTGACTTGTCCCTCTGCACTGGTCATTTTCGAAGCTCATCATACTGATGTCTTTGTAAAGTGCAGCCAATTCATTCCTGCGGGGGGTGGTGGCGGAAAAACAATGGCATGCGTTAATAAGCGTTGGTGAAGGCATACATGTGCACATGCGCGCATATGTATGTACATATATATATACATATATATATGTGGATGCATGGGAGGATTGCACGGAGCTATCTCTGCATAGTTTCTTCATTTTTTCTATCCTTTTTATTTTATTCTATTTTTTGTTTCCCCCGTTCGCATCCGCGCAGCCCTTTCATGGCTCGGTTCGATATAGGCTAACCTTCCCGTGTTGAATAACTGAAAGTAGTGGTTCACAAACTCTTTGCCTATCTCTTCGAATTGAGGATTTAGCATATCCATTTTTTACAAAGAAGGGTGGGGGAAAATGATTAAGAAAAAAATATAAAAAAAAAAAAGTTCTTAAACGTGTTGGGATGGTATTAAAAATAGCCCAATCGACAAAAGTTAAAAAAAATTGATTTTCTGATTTTAAATGATGTTAAAAGTTTAATTATGTTCGTTCTTCAATACATACGTATGTACAATACATGTGATACAGAGCAAACGTTATTTTCTTTCGATGAAGAAATAAGAAGCTTGGAGGTTTGGCATAAACTGTTTCGTATCAAACAGGCGGGGTAATGGTACGCGAGGTTTGTTTCTTCTGCAAATTTCGAAGAGTTCACTATATTTCGGAGGTGTTTTTCGTTACAATTTTTTTATTTAAAACGAGAATTTGAAATGGCAATAAAAAAAAAAAAAAAAAAAAAAAAAAAAGCACACGAAATGTACGTGAATGCATATTTATCATATTCAATATATTACCTTCAACAATACGCAGTTTATTTTTTAATGCAAGGTCCAAGTAAAATTTAAAGGTTATGCGGAGGTTTTCAAAATGGAAAGGTGTAGAGATGATTGTTTTGAAGAGTTTTTTTTTTTTCTTTCATGGCTAATATATGTATATCTCATGTAATGCAGTGTAAAATATAATACTGAATAAATAATATTTTCTTACGTCCGTGGGTGCTTCCCCCGCATGTGCGTCAGTAGGGCTTTACGGAAAGGGACAAACAGTCTCTTACTATTCTGATGTAGGCGTAAGTGCGCAAAACACTGTGCATATCATTTTGTTCGTACCATTTCGTACCAGTTTACCGTACCACATTGTCGCACTAGTTTGTCGTACCAATTTGTGCGCTTTTACTTTTTTCCCCACCCGCTTGCATGTAGCGCTAAGGGGAGAGGAACCCCCTAACAATTCGTAAAAGCCCCCTGGACCTTTGTCAATTGTGTTGCTTAAGCTTTTTTGGTTTTTTAACACACCGATTCAAATAACAAGCGTGTATAGTTTTTCACAATTGTAGATTCGTTTTTTAAGTTTTGTGCTAGCCTATTTTACTGGGCCAAGGCATCGGTACGGTAAAATGTGTCGACACGTTAACACATTGTTAAAAGACAAAATGAAGATTTGCTTCGTACGGAAAGAAAAAATAAATTCCTGTTTTGACCAAATTTAAATCAACATAAACACACCTAAACGAAAATAAGGGCTACTCTGAATAGAAATGAACAATCACCTCCCTCTCCCTTTTTTTTTTTTTTTTTCTCCCCCGTTGGCAAATGTGCCAGTTTAACCTGCCGCAACAGAACCACTGTGGAGCTTTAAGGCGAACAAAAAGTGCACAGGTATGTTCACCCTACTCTGTGCCATTTCCTCAACAATGTGTTTTTCTGTCTACCTAATTTGCAGTCCTCCTGTTGAAAATATATTTGTGGGGTTACGTGTTTTTTTCCTGCCCCCAACAACTACACACACATACAAAAGGGTAATGTGGAGCGTTCCCCGACCTGCACCTGCCACATTGTGTACACAGGAATGCAGTCCACTGTATTATTACAAATGTATAATGGTTAAAAAATGAACACATTTGGAGAGTGCCTGTTTGTGTTCATCCCTACAATACCCTCCATGCGGCACGATTAGAAAAATGTCTTCTCCTTTAAAAGCCCCTCATGTTACACACGCTTTGTATTTCATCCTTGGTGGAAGAATAACGTTTGATGCGTTGAAAAGGGAGGAATGTGATGACTCTTACTTACCCCACAAGTGTCTCACGGACGAAACCACTTAAGAAAATTTCCTGCATACTATACATTATCATTATTGACACGACGTGGCAATAAAGAACCATATCGTATCCCTCATTTGAATTATTGTCCCACTTAGCATTCATTTGTTTTTTTATCGCATAAATCGTTCAAACTAAGTGACTCCGTACATAGTGTATTATGAAAATGTAGCCATAAGTGAAGTTTCTTAAATGGGGTAAAGTCTTATAGCATTCTCACGTCACGCGTTCGTTCCGTTCAAACGGATAAAGTGGACATTCATGTTGGCACACATCAAAGGGAAGAAAATAAATGTTTTCTTTATATTAAAAAAGGCAGTGCTAACCGAAAGCCCCATGGTAGCAGAGTGTGCTACTCAAAGGGCCCGACCGACTGTGCTTTAAACGTTCTCGTCAAAACGGAACAAATGTGCACCTTTAAATGTGGAACAAAATAAAATTAAAAACAAAGCAAGCAAACAAAAAAAAAATACAAACAAACATGTAAAACGGAGCGGAAAAAAAATTAGTCAAAATGGGACAACGAAACAACGGAATGTCACACTGGGAATCAAATGTACACAAAAAAAAAAAAAAAAAAAAAAAAAGGCGAATCAAACTGCTTCTCCAGAGATAAAAAAAAACGCTCCTCTCATTTTAAGAGGTATTTGTCGCAGTTTTTCCCCACACCCCCCTTTCCATCGCGCACTACTTTTATATACCAATCTGCTCAGTTCTTGTTCAGCGCGAAGAGAAAGTAAGACGGAACGTACAAAAGGGTGTCTTCCCTTTTACGGCATTTGGACCGCTTGCTTCCCCAACGAAAACCTTTCTCACATATGTTATAAATGTTAAAAACGTCTAGATAGTTCATGTTTGTGTAATGCATATTCGTGTCAGTCATGTGTATGTACACGTTATTCTGGACGAGGTGAGAAATGCCTTCTATTTTAAAATTATTTTTTTGCAACTTCTTCAAAATTTTTATTTGAAAGTGGGAAATTTTTTTATAAAATCGTTTTTTCAATTTTTCGTACTCCCTTTCGTCAAAGAAGTCACTATGGCTGAAAAAGTTTGGCATGTTCGTCATACCGTCGGCGGTGTGCTCCGCGTGTCCGTGGGTTTTCCCACCGTCCTCTATCGCTGTATTGTTCGTTCGCAATGGATTATTGTTCGTTCGCGATGGATTGTTCGCTTCACGGGAGAGAGGAATACCCCGGCCATGTTCGTCGCTGCGCGCGTCATACTTCGTATCACCCGTCTGGTTGCTTCCAAAGCCCCTCCATGTGGGAAAACTGCCATTCTGGGGGTCGCCACGATGATCCAAAGTACAGTACGGAAACACAAGGTTATACAGATGAGCATTATCCTCTCTCATTTTGGTAGTGGACACATCTGCGCTCAGATAAAACGAATTGCTATTCACATCGTTGCTATCAAAATAGAGTGACATTATTTCTTTATTTAAATTTCCATTACGCAATGCAATTTCGCTCTTCAGAGGATTTGAAAAAGTGTCCGGTGTTGAAAAATCATTTTCATATAGTACAGTTGGCAGGTAAAAATCGTCACACAGTTGGGCATCTTCTCTTTTCTTTTCCTCCAAATTTTGTAAGTAACATTCCTTCTGATAATAGCTTAAAAAAGTAAGCAAATTTTGTCTCGAGAAAATATTTACAAATGACCACTTACGCAAAGACGCCTGATGAACATTAAAATATTTCATATAAATATAGTAATTATTATAGTACCTCATTATTAAATTAAACAGTTGATAAAAAAAATAAACTTTGAATGGATGCCTTTTGTTTAGAGTGAATACAGAAAAGGAGTCCTTCCTCTCTGCGATTTTAAAGACAATTTTTTTTTTAAGAGCATAAATTGGAAGGTAATAAAAAATGTACTTTTTAATATTACTTAGGAATCTCTTTTTATAATATTCGGAATGTATAATAGTCGGTCTGTACCCTTTGGTCAAATATAAAACACTTTTGCTGAAATTTTCTACCGATTTGTCCCATGTGTAAGGTCTTAAATAATCAATAATTTTAAAAATGATTACAAAATTTGCTACGTCTATGTGTATAAGGAGGGAGTAATCCATGATATCCTGCCCTGACAGGAAGTCTGTATCTTCTCTTAACGAATCCATCAGATCCTTGTAATCACAGTACTCCATATTTATCACCTTCCCTTTGATGAAGTCTCTAAAATTGTCATCAAATAGCACAGTATAATTTTGCAAGCTATTGTAATTATCTATTGTGAAGTTGTTATATTTTTCTATCGAATTTAGACTCTCCATGTTTTTACTATTTGACATATCCTTGTTTAAGAAGCTGTAAGTTCCTTCCCGTGACGGGGTACTACCTTGGGGGGCGCATACCACTTCTCCCCTTAATTTGTGCTTGCTCAAATTGTGTCTATTCAAAATGCACTCCTTTTTTTTCGCCAAAAAATGCAGTGACGCCTTCGTGCTGTACAAATATTTCGTTCTGATCCTTTTGGTGCATTTCCCCCTACGTCTATTTTTTCTCATTCGTAGCTTGGTCATTTTGCTATTCAAAGATAGGAACATCCTCGTATGATGTACAATGTCATTTATAAAGATGCGCCAATTTTTGTGATTATCTTTTTTCTCCTCACCAATTTGTGCGGAATTTTTATTCAGTCTACTCTTCATACGGAGCTTCTTAGCCGGTTCAACCAGACGTTGCCGCAACAATCCACATAGCATTTTTTGCCTAACTTTTGTATACAATTTCCTCACCTTTTCTTCGTTACTTTCGCTGCTTAATCCGTTCCCTGTTCTACGGTTCTTATTCCCTGCTCCCTCTTTGCCGCCCTGGGTTATGACATTGTGTCTTCTTTCACCTTCTGCGTTGGGTACGGAACCTTCCATATAGTGTGCACCATCCTGTTTGGAATTGTTTTCTCCTTTTTGTGCCTCTTCGGCTGTATGGGTCTTTTCCACGGAGAACATATGCAAATACTCATTTTTGCTATAAAATATATTCGTCTGTTTGTTCTCCCGCGCCCCCCCCTGCGCGGCAGACACCGCTGCGCCCTTAAAGTTAATCTTCTTTTCCCTGCGAATGTATCTAGTAAAATGGCCCAAATTTTCCGATATGCCAGAGGAATTATCTTCAGACATGTCCTTTTCTTCCGTCGTTTTGCACGAGTTGTACGATAAGACATCATTTCGTTCGAATACGGAGGAGCTCCTCTTATTCTGCTTGATCAGTTTTTGTAAATTTTTTTTTTTCCTTGCCCCTTTAATATCAAAAATTAAAATTTTCGAGTTGCTATTTTCGATTTTTATATTTTCCAAAATAATATACGATTTAACATTTTTTCTCCTCCTCTTTTTAATTTCTATTTGGTAAAGTCCAAACATGAAGCATAGGAGAGATTTTTTTCCTTTAAAAAATATGTCCGAAAAATGTTGAAAAAATTCTTTATATCTTGTAATGAAAGATTTAAATTCGTATTTATTTATCTCTTTGATGATGTACTTATCGTCGTATGTTTTTACAAAGTGTCTTTTTTTATGATCAAATTTGATACAGTTGCTTTTTATGAGTGATCTTAAAAATGTTGTTTCTCTTTTACACAGAAATTTCCTCAGGTAATAAAACTGTAGCGGAAAATATATGTACACAGAAATGTTTTCATTTATCGGAACAATGACAACTTGATCATTTTTGCAATTCAAAAATTGGTTTATCGAGCTATTTGCTAGGTTCCGGTTGGTCATCCTTCTTATATTTTTCTTTACATATTTTTTTATTTCCTCATGCTGTTCGATGCAGGAATGTTTTCCCCTTTTCGATTTTTTCTTTCCACAAAACGGCGTCTTCTGTGTAACCCTTTCTTTGCTCCCATTTGGTTTGAACTCCCTCCGCAGTAGCGCAATTTCATTTTTTGCTTCGTCAATTTGTTTTTCCAGCGCCTGTTGTTTCTTCTCCGCCCGGACAGCTTCCCTCTCCTTTTCGTAAATTTCGGCCAACTTCAACTTGTACTCATCCGATATAAGCGCGTGGAAGATGGAGTTGGACGTGTCACTGGGATTTAATAAAAAGATCGCACTTGATTTCTGTTCCTTTTCTGTACCCCCCGTTTTCTTTCTGCTTCTTTTATCAACCTTTACCGAGTCGATTATTTTAGTTATATGCAAATAGAATAGTTTCTTGTTCGAATGTTCGTATTCTTCCTTGTTCAAATCGTCTAAATATTTTCTCTTCCTATAATTCTCAATGTTATAAATGTAGTAGGACTCTTTCGTATATAATTTTTGTATGTCATACTCCCGCACGAAGTAGAAGTAGTTGCTTAGCTCCGACTTGTCTTCATTCAGACTTTCAGGATTTTCCAAATTAGACATTTCGCTCTCCCTTCTTCTCCTGCTGTTCAAGTCGTTCATCAGGGCATACTTCTTTTTGGATCTCCTCCACTTTCTCATGAGCTCTACTTTGTCCAATCTGCGTTGGGGACTCCGTTTGGCACTACGGTGGCTTGTGGGCGGCAAAGACAGGGGATTGTTAGAGAAAGTTTGTTCGATGTTCTCCTCGTCTCGCTTCGTATCCTCTACCGTCTCCTTAAATATCTTCTTCACTTGCCTCCTCACAGACACACCGTCCCAAGCGCCCCGAGCGACGTAACGCAAATACTGTATCTTCCTATTATTGGCCAACTTGGTCATATTTTCAATATCCCTCTTTATTCTTAAGTTAATTTTTTCTAATCTCATAATGTACAAGGAGAAAAATATTTCATTGTCCAACGAGAATTCCCTGTCCATCAAATGCACAATGGCGTAGGTGTAAAAACGCCTGAACACTCTAGTTAGGTGTTTTTTGTTTTGCACCAGTTTGTTTTTAAACTTTCTAAATATGAGGAACTGCTTTACTAAATTTTCCTTTATTCTGTTGATATCTTTTAGGATGTATGCGCGGTTGCTGTTAGCCTCTTTCGAGTCGTAGTTAAGGATCCTTTCTTCTCTGCTCGAGTTTACTTGTTTTCCTCTGAGTGTTTCCTCCTTCTTCTTGATGTGCGTGGCATCCGCACTTGGGTCATGCGATGAACGCATTGTGTGTGCAGGTCCATCCGCGCCCCTTCCTTGTGTAACCTCCATCTCACCCCCGCACATCTGCTGGATCATCGCACTATTCAAGGGATCGTCTTTTTGCTTTACAAGTGGTTCATTATTTCCATCGCCGTTCGGGCTTCGTGCCTCAATTTTGTGCTCGTCTAATGGTTCACCCTGTGCGTCCTCCCTGCTGCTTTCCATCTCCCCCTTTATAATCAAAAAACTATCCTCTATGAAGTATTCCGTGTTATTTACGCAGTACAAAATTTCGTTCACCTTAATAAGTATATTTTTACTGACCAGACCGATGAGAAAATTCACAGCGATGTAAAAGTTAAAAAAAATCCTCTTAATTATGAATAAGACATTGAAAAATCCTAGTGTGAAAAAGTTGTCAATTTTTATGTGTTTACATTTTTTACACTTATTTGTAAAGTACAATGGAGAAGAGGGGTTTTTAAACTTCTCCTTCTTCCTCTTCATTGAGGATGGCTTCCCATAAAGATGCTTATTTTTAGACCTATAATACTGAATTACGCAGTTGTAGATTAAGTACTTTAGTGAGCAATACATGGGCAGCATTGAGCTCGTAAAAAAGGGGAAATTTTCGATGATATTGTACAGGTTAAAATTTGTATACACTTGTCCTTTTGTCTTTTCTTTTCCTTCTCCAATTTTATACTTATTCTTTCCCGTTACGCAGTTGCAGGGGTAGTTGTAAAAGACGCTATTGCAAATGATGTTTTGCATGTTCTTCTTGATGTATCTTTTTACTCTACGTTCCGTGTTGGAGATTCGCTTACACTTGTTCGGCCCTCTGTCGTATGAACACCAGCGTGCACTGCTACCTTCGCTGCTTCTACTTGATGCATGCAAACCCTTGCCACTTTTGTGCGGCTTGATACTTTTGTAAATTTCATTATCGTGTAGGAGGAAACAAACTTTCAAATCTTTGTAACTCAACTCGTAGGAATTGTTTTTCCCATTGTGGTTGCAATGAATGTTCACGTAGCTGTCCGAGTGTACAATGCTTAGAAGAAATTCGCTGAGGGAAAAGTTGGTGCTCAGTAATTTCTCCTGGACCAAGTCACACTTGTTGCAGATGATTTTCATGCTTACTTCGTCCTCATCACTATCGCTGCTTTCCTTCATAAATGTGATGAGGACCCTCTTCAGGAATATTTGGATGCATATTTGGTGGTGGCCGAGTTCGTTCCGGCACGTGTCGAAAGGGCATTTCCTGTGTGTGGGGGGAATATGAATACGTGTTGCACAATTGTATAGAGCATTGCACACGTGTGTTGCGTATGTGTGCCGGGAGGCGAAGATATCCATGCTGCACATTTGGAGGGAGCACCCTCATCTCAGCATCTCTCCTTTGTATCTCTATGCGTCCCTCTCCATGGGCACTTACAAACTGTGGGCCAGCTCGTGGATGACGCAAACGAACTGCTGCAAGGACATGTCGTATATATACTTGTGGTTAAAGAAAAAGTTGTAAAAGAGCTTCTTCAAGCTATGGTTCTGGTTGTCAAACAGGTACATGTTCACACAATTGTACAAGTTATTAATAAACATATAATTGGGGCAAATAAAATAAATTATCATTTCTACATTTTTGGTTGCTTCCAAATGATAGCAATAGAAAAGGATATTCTGGGCAATAATCTCCTCAGCCTTTTCATTAACCTTGTTCTCCATCACAATTTCGTCTTTAAAGAATACAGGATGGCACAATAAATTTGAGTCGTTCAAAAAATCTTCCTCATTTGTGATTAAATTTTTCCAATTGCAGTACAAATAAGAGCTGTTAATAATTTTTAAATAATAATACATAAAATTATAATTGCTTTCCCAATTTTTCATGAAATTGTTAAATAAAAAATAGTTCACTACGTCTATTATTTTGTTTTTTCCAGTGTTCAAGAAACAATGTTCATAATTGTTGTATATTTGGTCTTTAATAATTTTATTTGTCTTTATTAACATGTGTAAAATCTTCATCCGTTCTCTTATCAGTGGGTTATTAGCATTTACTAAGTGGAACAAATTCGACATGAAATTTATGGGTGTCTTTTTTATCTTGCTCTTTGTATCATTATAGAAAAAAAAAATGGAAGAAGACAGGATGGACTGACTCAATTTCTTATAAAAATTGTCACAAATGGCATTTGTGTGTATACTTCCATCTGGCATGCTCTGCAGCATTCTTCCCATGTAGTTATTCAAATGCAGCTGTTTATATACATGGAAGGTCAAGAACAGACAAAACCTTAGCACTTTTTTAACCTTTTTAATTATAATTACATTTTTTATATGATCAATTAGTTTCTCTTTCTTGTTTCCACGTCTTTCCTTATCCATTAGACATATTTTTTTTTCTGTATGGTGGAAAAAATAATCAACTATATAATCATCACTCTTGTTCTTGTAATACACTTGGAGGAATTTATCTAATATATTTTGTTTCTTCGTTTCTTTTTTAAGAAGCGTATATAACAGGCCTTCCCCCTTCGGTTTTCTTCCTTCCTCCGGTGCGCATCTCTCATTTGGGTTGTACAAGTTCGAAAATGTTACTCCAACAGCTGTGGACGTGCTATTCGCAGGTGCATATCCAACCTGCGGTTCATCCCCATCCCGAATTTCCTTCCTCCCAAATATGCAGATGGTTAAAAAATTGCCGCTACAACAGAGAAAAATATTTTTCACGTTTTTCCTATACTTTTCAATTTTGAAATAATTTGCCTTAGCTACATAACTGTTATGGTCAAAATTTACAAAGTCGTCATAACTTAGAACCTTGGCACGCAGCATGTTGGACAATCGCCGTAAATTTTTTTTCTTAATGCTTGTAAAAAAATATATCTTCTTACTCATTAACAACTTCTTCGTGTAAACATCTATTTCCCCGTGAATTAAAATGATGTTCAAATTTCGATTGCTCAATTTTTTCAAAATGAAATAAGTGTAATTATACTTGTTGTTATAAGACTGCTCCAGTACTTCGTAGTTATTTTTTTTTTCTGCGTCCAGGAGCAATATTTTCGGGTTCTTTATTTCCACATCGTCAAAGTATATAGAGCAGTTGCTGAACACCAACCCGTTGATGTAGAAGCTGTTTGAGAATCTCTTATAGGGGAAGTACTTTACCTGCACGGAGGGGGGAGGAGAAAAAAAAGAATGTCCCAAGGGGTGTACGTGCTTCATAGGAGCTCACCATAGAAGTAGACACTTAAGCAGATATACTCATGGGGTTGAAATTGATGGTGCATTATAATTGTACAGAGATATGTAATATAGAGGACAGGTTTGTAAATTAGGTCCACCTTACCTTCACATTTGTCAAAATGTCGTAGTCATAACTGTGGTAATACTTTGAAATCTCATTCAGCATGCTGATGATGGGAAGGTACAAGTCCTTCTTAATCTGGTAGTAGCGCAGCTGATTGGTTATTACTTTGTAAAAGTACCGATTAAGATGGATGTTGGTTTTCAGAGAAAAAGTGATACTGTCGTGGTACACATTTTTGTTAATGTCTTTTTCGAAAAAGGTAAAAAAAGGATTAAATTCTTCATCCAAAATTTTTTTTTTTTTTTTCCTTGCAGAATAATTCACAGGAATTACAGGTGGGATATTATACATTTCACTGTTTTCTTTTTTTTTAAAATATTTTTGCTTAACTTTTTCAAATATTTTTTTTTTCTTTCTTTCGTCCTTAATATCATCGTTGTATGTTTTGTAAATCTTTTCGCTCCTTTTAATTATCTTCAAGTAAAACTTGTTGTTCACTATGAGACTATAATCTGAAGGGACAACGCGGGGAGAGAAAAAAAAAAAGTTACAAATTATGGCCAAGTTTAGCAGCTTTGCAGTGTGCACATTGTGTAATATACCAATTGTCATATGAATAAAAAAAGGGGGCGGTGGAATTCGCCAAGTGGGAAGGCTCGAAAAGACTAGCATTATTATAAAGCTATGTTAAACGGGAGTATTAATTGGAGCAGAGGGCAAGGAGCCTGTCCAGTTCACGCTATTCTCTCCAACTTTGCAAGAACAGTTACAGTATAACGTACGAACTGGTTCACTTTTTCAATGTGTGCATTTATATTATGACTGCGTCAGTGTTTACTCGCTACATTATTTCCCTGTTTGCAATTACCTTCTTGCCTTATTCCATTTTTAATCAAATTCGTGGTCAGTTCGTTGGGCTCGCTGATGGGCACGCTTGAGTCCTTCTTGTTCGATATTCTCCTTTTCACTGTTGGCTGCGTTTGTTTCGGGTAAAAATTTTGCCCATCGTTTATGCAGAGGCTGCTGAAGCGGTTAGACAGATTACTATTTCGGATTTCTTGGGGTGCAGTAGGGGGAGGGGGGAGGGCATAAATATGAAGGCAAAGAAGTTAGTACGGTCTTACGGTTGTGCAGACGAACTATTGCACCGATGCACTACTGTACAATACACCGCTCCTTCTCTCACACTCCACATTCCCCTCATCCCTTGCGTCACCAGACTCACCGTTGAACAGGGGGTAGTTCAGGATCCAGTCGAAAAACCTCTGCGATGTGTTTCGCTGTTTTAAATTGTTCCTAAAGCTGAAGTACCTATCCGATAAGCTTTCTTCCATGATGATTTTGCGTCTTTCAAAATATTCATCACAGGGCTCAGTGAGGATTTAACCTATGTCCCATACTGTGCATTATGTTTCATACCTTGTGTCGTCCTTCTTCCCTTTTTTTTGCTAATCAGGGCAGTTTTGTATTTTTTATTTTTTTACTTTATTTACCTTATTACTTTATTATTATATCATTTTCTTCGTTGTATCCTCCGTAGTTGCGCCCCTTTATAATTTTGCAATCTTCCCTTTTCACCAGTTCATTGGCAAAAAAACGGAATGGCCACACACAACTCGGTTGCTTAACCATGTGTTAGAGTATCATTGGGGGCCTATATGGGGCATTATAAAAAGAGAAAAAAGAAAAATATGGCTATCTTTTTTTTTTTTTTTTCCCTTACCTTTATTTGGCATTTTATTAGGCAACTCAACCCTTCTTTTTTACAATGAAATATGCGTGCATTAACGTGCTAGGATAAACCGAAGCGCAGTTCTGTTTATATACCTTTGTGCACTTGACAAAAATGCAATTGCCTGAATTATTTTTTCTCCCGAGAGTTGTTACACGTTACTGTACCCATATTAAGAGCAAATTAGATACGTGTCACATTTAGCACGTTGACAGGATCAATTCGGGATGAGCTGAACATAAAACACAATGAGCCAATCAACCCATCCAAAATTTGCACCACCCTAATATAGATATACCAAACGAACAAACAGACAAAAAAAAAGTGTACAATTGTGCATTGCCTTCCGCGTTAGAAGCCCTTGAAAATATCCCCCAAGGGGAAACATGGGCTTATGACACATTTCACCTTCCAAACATTTTCCCCCTTTTTGGTCACTATTTTGTTGAATTAAAAATGGAATATATTTTTTGCCCATATATGAGGATCGTTGTGATGTTTTTTTTTTTTTTTTT